TTAAAAGTTGTGATATTCATGTTGTGGTGCCTTTGTAACCAACCAATCATTATTTTTTATATAACTTAAAAGTCCAAAAAGGAAAGTTCTCTCTGTGCCAAAATAAATTGAAAGCTTTCTTTTTATGATAGATACATACATACATACATACATACATACATACATACATACATACACACACACACACACACATATATACACACACACACACACACACACACACAAACATATATGTATGTATGTATGTATGTATGTACACAAGTAAAAATATATACAGACGTATGAAACTATAAATTTCCTCTCTAATAAGGAGCATGGTCTGTTGCTATATGATTATTTTGATCATATTTTATTATGCAAGAAACATATTTATGATCATTGCTTCTTACTGTTATTGACTTATTATAGAAATATTTTATAATTCCTCTAAAAATTCAACAATTGGATGAAATCTACTTCTTAAGCAATCACTTAAGTTCTAAGCAATTTATTTTGCAGGATAACTAGGTATGAACATGTATATACGAACTGTTACAAGAAAAGAATTCCATGAGGACTGTAAATGTGTTTACCGAGCATATATGTGATGTTTCAACTAGTTGGAAACCTAGATTCTGATAACCCTATGAAATAGTGCAAACAAGTAGAATCAAATAGGGTTATATTTGTCTTGTAGATGGTACCTGCTAACACACAACATATGTGGATAGTGAGAGTAGAATGGAGAAGAACATGCATCCCTGTCATTCTCACATTTTTTTTTCGAATGCCTGAACCTATACTACAATAAGCATAGCCTGATACATTTGTGGGTTTAAAAAAAGAGTGAGGATTCCCTTAAGCTGAAATTTACATATGGTGACTGCATCCAGGAAATTTTCCTGGTAGCAATACAGAAATGATTTGCCATTGCTGCCTTCAATATAGTTTTCTCAAATACTCCGCTTATGATTCCAAATTAATGTGGGTGATGCTATTTCTTAGAATCTGAAATTGAGAAGCCTTCCAATTTCTTTTAAAGTTTAACTTAATACTGGCTTGTAAGGCTTGTGTTGTTAGATTTTACTAGCATGATGCAATGCCCATGACTGATCCCATGCTAGGCTAGTTATACTCTACTAAAAGCAGAGACAGTCAGGGTTGGGCCATATTCAATCATCCAACATAAAAGTATGCCACTAGAAATTGGAGTCAGGATATGTTTCAGCAGCATTTCTTTGCAGGCTTACTATGTTTCTTTTTGTACAAATGGCAATAGTAATAATAAGTGTGCAAAGCTAATGCAACCATTTTGATTTTTAAACTCCCTTGTCCCCAAAGAGGAAGAAATAAAGCCAGAATGTGACCATGTTTTCTAACTTGTAGAAGCATTATTCTTTTTTTTTAAAGTAAAAATATGATGCTAGATCTAAGAGGCTTCTCTTTTTATTAGAAAAAAATCTGATTTGCTTCTTTTCTGGTATGCATACAAATCTAGAAGTAGGAGTTTTAACCCAGAAAAGTAGAAATATATATTTGGGAATGTTTATGCATTCCTGGACTGGAATGGAAACAATTAAGTTCCATGTCAGCCCCATTTGTTTGCAAGACACTTTTGGCATAAACCCATTAAATGTGTAATCTAAAAGAAAAATGTTTTGTCATTTCTAATATACTTTGGTTATATTTTACATATGTAGGCTGGGCTTAGAACACTTCATGATATTGGACCTGAAATTCGGCGAGCTATCTCCTGTGATTTGCAAGAGGATGAACCAGAACAAAATCATCATGAGGAGGAAGAAGTATATAAAGTAAATGGCTGTATGATAGATGTCTTCAGTTTATAAAATAGACTTCCTCCCCTTTACTAGGCAAATGCAAGAATTTCCTCCCACAAAGCAATTGGTACATTCCCTTCATTTCCAAGCTATTTCATTATAGGCTCAATATTGAGGCGGTCTTCTATTTTTTGACAGCCATATCTCTGCACATAGATAGTTAGCTAGAGCCACACAACTGACAGATGGAATTAAGGATAACTTTCTGTTATCACAGAACTCTCAAGATTGTTGGTTATGTCACTGTAGTTGTGGAATGACTTTATCATGTAATTATAACAAAAAATCGTAACAAGCACCATGCTCTTTAAAATATAGCTTATAAACACTTTTGGGGAGAGGTGGGTAATACAGTTTGCTTAGCTGTTAACTGTAGGCATGTGAATCTATGTCTCTATGATGTAGTATCTCTCTGTGTGAATAGATTAACAAAATATTCTTGGCCCATTTTCAATTTCTGTGATATAATTTCTGTGATCATAGGTAGATCCCGTATCACACAGAAGACTGTTTAGAAGAGGGTATTGTGGTATTATAGCAATGTGACTATCTGACCTGAGGATGCCAAGTGAACCCACACAGGATATACACGTGAAGACAAACAAACTAATTTTATGTTATTAATTGATTATCACTTTTTATATTTCAGAGAAATGGTGCCCTGTTTGGAAACCATATCAATCATGTTAGCACTGATACAAGGGATTCATTTCAACAGATCAATACTACCCATCGCCCCCTGCATGTGCAAAGGCCACTGGTTTCGTGTATGGTGGACACGACTGAGAAAAATGTGCATCCACCAACAGGAAACTCTTTATTCCATAATCATCATAGCCATCACAACCACAACTCTGTAGGGAAGCAAGTTCCAAATTCCACAAACGCTAACCTCAATAATGCCAACATGTCCAAGATGGCAAACAGAAAACATGCAAGTGCTGGAAGTCATGATCATATGGAAACTGGGAGCCATTCATACTCCAGAAAAGATCACTGTGAACAACGTAGACGATCATCCAAAAAGAGGTAAATCCCAATATATTTTTATAGTGTAAACTAAAATGTTACATTTGGTTGAAAATGCCAATCCCCGTGTTACTTTTTTTAAACACCTTGAACCGTTATATTCGATTGTCTAATTTATTCATTGTCTAGTTTAATTTTAATATAACTCTGTTGATCTGCTTGATTAAGTTGCAGCTTACAAGCCAGGTATGGCTTACATTTTTCAACTACTATCATCCTTTGGGCCATGTGATTTACTTATTTATTTTATTTAGATCCTGACCTTATTATTTTTCTAACAAGGCAGCAAATATACCTAAATTTCTCCTTCTTCCTATTTTCACCTCAACAATTACCCTGTGAGGTGAGTTGGCCTGAGGTAGAGTGACTGGCCCAAATTCACCCAATGGCTTTCAGGTTAAGGAGGGATTAAAACACTTGGTCTTCCAGTTTCTAGCCTGGTGCCTGAGCCCCTAGACCAAACTAGCTCTTTATTGGTCAGATTAATACAATCAGATAAATTCAACAACATTAATAGATTGTTGCATAATTACAGTAGAAAGATGTCTAAAGAAGATAAGCCAAAAATCAGTTAAGAGAAATTGTTGCTTTCTTTCATCATCATCATCATAATTTATGAATTAAATCCTGTGGGAAAGTTTGGGTAAATACAAATGTAGCCATTAATAAGTACAATATAACATTTACTTTCTCATCATTTCATTAAAATTCATTATACTTTTTTCTCCATATTCTTTTTTTTCTAGTAGAGCTCGTTATTATGAAGCTTACATTAGGTAAGTATATATAAGGTCATATGGAAAACAGCACTTCATGCTTCAATAAAACTTATTGAAACAAATCATATATGCCTTTTTCAGTCAACTTTGGAGATGATGCTGAAGCATGAGACTAAAGGCTATGGCCTCCAACATAGCATATGATATGAACATATGATTTGGCCCATACGCTGAGCATGAACATTGAGCGGTAGACATGGAAATCTCCATGCAGTCCTGAACCTGTATATACAGCTTGGCTTAGCTGTAATTGGGAATGTATCCTGATGCACAATATTAGGACTAGGATTGCAAGACTACCTACTGACCTTATCAAAATACCAGAGTTGAACTTTAACCTACATTTTATGATGTGTTTAGTTAGGAAGGAATGCCATATCGGGTACAAGATAGCATCTCTAAATAAGACTGGAAAATTCACGTCTGAAATTATATGAATCACTTTTCAGCAGAATAGGCAAGTTGGACAAATGGTTTGACACAACACAAGGAACTTCCTATGAATTTCAAACCATTTTGCATGTTGATGCTATTAGAAATTATGCAGAACCTTTCTTAGAACTTCCTGTTTCTACCACTGATTTATATTTCCCTTGCATTTATCAGTATCCCTATGACAACACTATGTTTAATTTCCCCAGCTCCTGTAAGAGGCAGCCAATTTACTGAAATTGGAAATAGAATGAAATTGGAGCATAGGTTACTTTTATTTGCGATCGCTGGAGAAATGCATGTAGGAAGTTATAAATCTGAGGGTAATATCCATCTCCGTCACAACTGTGCTTTGAAAAAAGAAAAAAGTAGAAGTGAGGCCAAATAAATAAACAGGCAAAAGGAGACTACAATTTCTCAATGGCCTGAGTGTCCCAGGTAGAATTCCACAACCTGATGAGACCAGGTATGCAAACTGATTTTACTGAATAACAGAATTGGAAAGGACCTTGGAGGTCTTCTAGTCCAACCTCTTGCTCAGGCAGGAAACCATTCAGACAAATGATTGTCCAGTCTCTTCTTAAAAACTTCCCATGTTGGAACATTCAATAACTTCTGGAGGCAAGTTGTTACACTGATTAATTTTTCTAACTCTCAGGAAATTTCTCTTTAGTTCTAAGTTGCTTCTTTCCTGGATTAGTTTTCATCCATTGCTTCTTGTCCTGCCAAGCTTTCTGTTCGTTTCTTATCTGTGGCTGAATTCTTTCTTTTAGGAAGGCATTCAGTCTACAGGAAGTGTAGTAAAGTTTACATGATTATATTATATGCCCTGTTGACTTTTACTACAGGTAGTCTCAATTTACAACCATTTACTATGTGATCATTTGAAATAACAATGACTGAAAAAAGTGACTCGCAACCATTCCTCACACTTACAACTGTCACAGTATTGTCACAGTCACATGACAAAATTCGGCCACTTGGTAACTGGCATGTATTAACAATTGCAGCATCATAGGGTCATGTGATCACCACTTGCGATCTTCCCAGACAGCTTCCCAGACAAGCAGAGTCAATGGAGGAAGCTGGATTTGCTTAATGACACATGATTCAGTTAATAGCTGCAGTGATTTGTTTAATAACCTTGCAAAATGTCATAAAAATGGATAGGACTCACTTAACAACTGCCTTGCTTATTGTAGCAGTAGAAATCCTAATCTCAATTGTGGTTGTAAATCAAGGACAACCTATGTATGTTTTTGGTATCTTTTTCAGTCTTACTTTTGTTCTTTTAAATCCTTTTATTTTATTACTGTTTTAGCTCTTGCTAATTTGATTTGGGAAAAATAGGGAGGGGAGGATTTACGTAAGTGTTTTTTATATAAAAAGTAATAAAAATATCTCTCTCTTCTAACCATAGGTCAGAATCGGGTGATAGACATTTACCAACAATTTGCCGAGAAGACCATGAAATTAGAGATTATTATAATGATGATTGCTATCTGGATGATCAGGAATATTTTAGTGGTGATGAGTATTATGAAGAAGACAGTATGTTGTCAGGAAGCTGGTAAGTTTAAGTTTCATTTAAAAAAATAATGTAGCAGCTCTTGTACATCAGAGATGAGATTCTTCTGTAGCATCTCAGATAGCTTATTCAGTTTGTGAATGCCTTGAGTGGGTTCCACCTCTTCTAATCCCCACCCCCAGTTCCCTCCTCACCACTGCTGGAACTCCCGAGAGAACTCCCTCAATAGGGTTGGTTGTTCCATACTTTATCTTCTTTTCTTGAAAAGAAAAGCAGAAGGCTGAAAAGATTCAGGAGCAGATCCTGACACTTCCTTTCTTCCTGATGGGGAAAGGAGGACCCTTAAAAGACCTGCTGTTTCTAAGAGGATATAAGGAATAATGATTTCCATTATCCTCCAGCATGAAGAAACCAATAGCATCTGGAGGCCTGGAGGAACTTCAGTTCTTTTCCTTACAGATCTACTCAGAGATAGATGTTGTCAGGGTTCCAAGTAACACCCCTAACAAAAGAAGACTCTGAGGCTTGAATTTCCTCAAAGTTCCATTTTATTCACAGATGTGCCAATATGATATATCTAATAAAATGGAATTTTGAAGAAACTCATGCCTCGGTGTCTTTTTTTGTTGGGGTGTTACTTGAAACCCTGACAGCACCTATCTCTGAGTAGATTTGTAAGGAAAAGAAGTGAAGTTCATCCAGGCCTCCAGGTGCCTCTGATATTGCGCACTTCCTTTCTTTCTCCGGCCCCTCTCCTTCTCTCGCTTGCCCTAGTGGCACCCCGACAGCCGAGCAAGGGAAGGAGATGTGGGATAAAGCAGTTCCTGCCGCTAAGAATGTAGGGGAGCACCCCTCCAGACTTCCTCTTGTCTCTGCTTAATCTCCCACCATCATTCTTTGGCCCTTGTGACCAGGCAACGCAGGGGAGGAGTGGGAGGAAAAGCAGCAGGAGGTGGGTGGGTGAAGAGAAAGAGGGAATAAAAACTCACCCAGCCATGCGCTGTCCTCACCCATGCAAATGGCGCTCTGCTGCGCCTGCCCCAATGAGCAAAGGGGGTGCTGGCCACAAACCGCCTGCCCGTGTTCAAACCAGCCCACTTCCTCTCTCCCCACACGGGCTCTCTGGAGGGGGAGGGAAGGCTCTCCCAAGACTGGCTCCTTTCCTTCCCTCTTGCGGCATCAGTCTGTAGGGGGAGGGCACGGACCGGGGTCCCTACCAGTTCGCACCAGTTCGGTAGAACCGGTTCGTCAAATCTACCGAACCGTTAGAAGAGGTTCCACCAGTGGACCTGGAAAGCAGGCCACACCTACAGAAGAAGTTCCAAAAATTTTTGAAACCCACCACTCACACACACACACAAACACACACACAGAGAGAGAAAGAGAAAGAAAGGAAGAAAGAAATTAAAAAAGAAAGAAAAAGTGAGAGAGAGATGAAACAAAAAAAGGAAAAAGGGACAGAGAAACAAAAGGAAGGAAAGAGAGCGAGAGAGACAAAAAAAACCACATAGCCGGCAAGCCACTCCCACCAGGTCACATGGCCAGCAAGCCACTCCCACAAAGGAGGCCACACCCACAGAGTAGGTTCGAAAAAAATTTGAAACCCACCACTGGCACGGACCATTGGGCAGGGGCCAGGAAGTGAGAAATTTTTACCAGTTCCGTGGTGGTGGGGGGTATGTGACTGAGTGGGTGTGTGCGTTAATGACGTTGGCCATGCCCACTCAGTCACATGCCCCCACCTAACCACGCCCACTGAACCAGTAGAAAAAAAATTTGAAACTCACCCCTGGTTTACATCCTGAGATTCTTTAACACCATCAGACAACAATACCTGCATATCCCAGGTCTTGGGAAGGACTCAATAGGTGGATAAAGATACCAAATCCAGGCTAAACATCTGATTGTGCAATGAATCATAATAGAATTCTATACCAAGCAGGAAAGAATGGGGTGAAAAAGGTAAAATGGAAATAATGTATCAGCAAAGAAATCTTATACTAAATTTTGTATTTCATACTAGACTATACAAAATAAAAAATGGATTACTGTTGCTAGATGTTGCTGGATTTTTCATTTTTACAGTTTTAGGCATCTATAATATTAGAGAAGGGACGCGGTGGCTCAGTGCCTAAGACGCTAAGCTTGTTGACCAGAAAGGTCGGCAGTTCAAATACCTAGTGCTGTATAACAGACTGAGCTCCTGTTACTTGTCCCAGTTTCTGCCAACCTAGCAGTTTGAAACCATGTAAAATGCAAGTAGAAAAATAGGGAGGCAAGGTAACAGCATTCTGTGCACCTTCGGCATTTAATCATGCTGGCCACATGACCATGAAGACGTCTTCAGACTGTGATGCCTCTTTGAGTTTAAAACGGAGATGAGCACTGCCCCCTAGAGTTGGGAACGACTAGCACATATATGCAAAGGAACATTTAACTTTACCTTTAATATTAGAGATGTTTAACCTATTTTTAGTACTGGGCTAACAAATTCTGTCTTAACTTAGTTTCATTCTTTAGTGACAAATTGTTGAGAATAGTTTTCATTTCAAATAACAAAATGCCTGCAACCATGGTGTAATCTGATACCTACCCAATTACCAATGTCCCATCAAATTATCATGTTTTGATGATGCTTGGAATCTAACTAACCCATATTCTTCAATAGATCATTTCATCAGACTCACTGAACATTTTCATTTTAACAGTGCAAGTTTTCTCTATTTCCTTATTAATCACTGATCAATACAGTTTCCCCATTTGTGTGCTGTTTTAAAAAGTGGCCAGTGAGTTGTATGAGTTCTGTGCTTTAGAAAAATAGAATGCTTGGAGCTAAAGTGTCTTGTTAAGAGAAGGAAGTGCAACAAGTGCTAATTACAAAATTGCAGGATAGAAAATAGGGCAAAACCACTCATAAGTAATTACCAAAGTGCATTTTCCCCCACTATGCTTCTTTAAAATCCTCTCATTTGTATTTAAAAATAATTTTAAAAATGACCGTGAAATATAAACATAATTCCAAAATAAATTTGCAGGAGAATGAGTTGGTTAAATCAATTTAATGCTGTCCAGATATTTTGGAGTACAAGATTTAGAAATTCTGTTTGTGCATTCCTGACCCAGGTTGGTGGGAAATTCTGAAGGCATGCTAGATATTAATCACTATTACTGTTTTCCTTCTTAAAAATTACCTCAGTGTGTGGTTTTAGTTTTAGTTTACAGAGGGGAGGGGTAGTTCATAATTTTGGAGCAAGTTACAAATTTTGGAACCCTTCAGTTTTCTGTGGTGATCACTACCAATTATCTGTTTCTTTATCTTTAGGCATTCTCACGACTACCATAGCACATGTCACTGTAATGATTTAGATTTTGAACGGCCAAAGGGTTATCATCACCCACATGGTTTTTTTGAGGAAGATGACTCACCCGTGTATTATGATTCCAAAAGATCTCCTAGGAGACGGCTGCTACCTCCAACGCCTACATGTGAGTTCACTACAGAAGCTGGCTTCGTGGATGTGTTTGCTTTACTGTTAGACCCACGTGTATTCTCTGCCCGTGCTCTCAACTTTAGTTGATTTAATTCATACAAAGGGGACAGCCCAGTGACCCAAGAGGAAAAGAAGTATGGAGGGGGTTTTCTTTGGGAGGGGGTGCTTTTTGTAGCTTCTCATGTCTCCTTTTTATAACTGAGGACATTGTTGGATTCCATACACAACTAAAATAGCAGAATGAGCTGATTCACAGAATAACAACATGATCAAAAATTGTAGATTAATTTAGCTTTATATTGGATTGCTTACAATAGTTGCTTCTCCCCACCACCACACTACTGGAAATGTGTCCTTAATTTTCTCCAACAGCCAAAATTAGAGTTGCTGCATATTTTTATTAGTTCAGATGGCTGCAATTTAACATTTCTTTTTGTTTAATAAAATAGCACAACTCCACAGAGAAGCCTTTGGAAAATGAGAGAACTTAATAACTAAAAATGCACAAACCTCACAATAAACATCAAAGTTAATATTAACTTGGAAAACATACATATTCATAAATTACAAAATAACATTGTAAGATATAAGACTGTGCCACGGTGTGACACTAGCACTTCTCTGCAATATCTATAAGGAGCCAAGCCTTATGGGGGGAGGGGGGAATAATCGTACCTGCTAAAAAGGTGCTACATGCAGGTGCTATATTCACATTTCTGCACGTTCTATAGCAGGTTTTCTCAACCTCAGCAACTTTAAGATGTGTGGACTTCAATTCCCAGAATTCTCCAGTCAGCATGCTACCACATTGCTGCACAGCTTGATAACCAAGGCACTATTCAAATGGACATTTATAAAATAATGCTTAAGACACAACAATAACACTGTGAAGCAGCTTGGGGTGAAACAAAGACAGAAACAGAGAGACACTGGCCTAAAGTCACCCAGATGGCTTTCATGCATAAGCAGGGTCTAGAATTCACGCCCTCCTGATTTCTAGGCCAGAAACCATGAGCACAAAGCTCATCCTTCAAAGTTTGAGGAAAAGTTTTATGTTCTCCCTTACAAATTAAGAAAAAGGAGGGGAGAGGGGGAAGCATGTAAGTGATCCTTATGAAACTCAGATGTCGCAAGACTATAATGATTAGAAATCTGATTTTCATAGAAGCCTGACCCATACTTTACTCAGTCTTACATCACTCAGTGCTGCATTGCTTTTGATCTTCAGTAAAGGCACAAACATTTCTTAGAAATTAACAATCTCTAGCTGACCTGATTTGTCTTAGATAGAGATCTGAAATCTACAAAGTGAGATTAAAAATTGAAACTTCCTGGTAACCTCAGCTGTGAGGGCAAATTAAGAGTTGAAACTTCCTGATAAGATAGGCTGTGAAGACAAATAAGAGGCCCAAAGGAAAAGAAAAGCTACTTCTTGTGCTTTCATACTGTATAGCTTTTACTTCTAATAGATGTAATAATTAACACAGCATCATTGTGCTACCCAATACTCCAGTACTTGAAAGTTGGTGGCTGAATGGCTGATGGCATGATCTTGCTTGCTTCTGCCTGCCCGCCTGCCTACAAAATTAAGGATGGAAATAAGAATGCTCTGAGAGCAAAAATACTCTCTTTCCTTCCCTTTCCATGGCCAGAACAAAATTAAACTGTTGAAATATAGTAGTAAGATGGCCATATTTCAGTAGCACAAATTAGTGCTAGGAACCTCAAGAGTGAGCATCAGAGCCAAAGCCTTCTGGAAGGTGAACAACTCCATTCCATAATTAACCTCTCATACACCCATACAAGTATTAAAGCAGCAAACGTAGCCTCTGCTTTTCTTGGACTATCATATTGTCACCAGTGTGTTCTCCTTCAGCAAACCAGTGGATTGGGATGTCTTATCAACAATATCATGGTTGTCCCAAAGATGCTTTTCAAAAGGCAATTGGATTTCTTGGGGGGTTTCCTTAAAAAAGTTTAGCTTCTCATCCAAGAAGTTTCTTCAGTTGGAACTCCACCTTAACAGATTTACCCAACTGCTCCTATGATACCTCTAGAAAGCAGTAACAACCCATTCCACCTTTTCATATTTCAGCCAATCGCCGCTCTTCCTTTAATTTTGAATGCCTCCGCAGGCAGAGCAGCCATGATGAATTACCACCTTCCCCTACCTTTCATCAACGCACTGCTTTACCTCTGCATTTAATGCAACAGCAGGTAAGTGAAAGCTTAACTTTAAATGCCTAGCTTTGTAACACTGTTTTGAAACTCGCAGATACAGCTAGTCCTCAGGTTATGATAACAATTGGGACCAGTGTCACTAAGCAATATAGTTGAACAGTCCAGTGTCAAATCACTGCATTGTTTCGCGATGGCAATCCTGGGCAGTCCCGGTTGCCATTGTGACAGCAAGATGCATGGATTGTTAAATGGGAAGCAGTGGGAGTTCCAGATAAGGACTATGGGAATGCAGTAGGAAAGGGAGACTATCGGAGTGAATGGCTTGCGAGACCCAGAGCAAGCTACACATGAGCACAAGAAGGCCAGGGATGGTACAAGTACAAGGCTGCTGTGGCAAGGCATGAGTGCAGGAAGGCCACAGGGACTTACCAGAAGGACTTACAACCTTCCCTTTGGGCTTCTGTATTGACTTTGCTTATGGGAAGTTGATTGGGATGATTGCAAATGATAATTACTGATTGCAAGGTGCTGCAGCTATCATAAATGCAAACTGGTTGCCAAGTGCTCAAAATCACAATCACATATCCATGGTGGCACTGCAGAAGTTGGAATTTTGAGGGCCGGTCATCAGTATCACTCATTCAAGGCCGCCACAACTTTAATCACTGAATGAGTGGTCAGTAAGTGAGGGCTACTTCTACTCCATGGTGGGACTCCCTGAGGAGGCTAAAAAAACATGGCAAATAACTTTGCTTCCAGTTCAGTCTCAAGAGCTATGAAAGGGCTGCTGGGCAAGGAAAAAAGAAAAGTCTGACTAGTTGCCAGTGAATAGTGGCTACCTGGAACTGACAGACTAGGTTCCCTACATCAGAAATAATAAAAATAATCAGCTGACAGGTTACCTATTTTCCATATTTTAAAATAAGGGAAAGTTCCAAGGAGAGAGAAAGAGAAAAAGGGAAACTCAACTTTGTCAGGTTCTGAGTATTATCATCTGTGTGTCCCCAGTGAAGCAAGGTGAGAAACTAAAAGGCCTTCACTCAAATTGTAAAAGAATTTCATTACCAACAATACCACAAACGAATCTAAAAAAAAAAGAAGCTAGATTTTGCCGGAGCAGAATCACTAATAGCAAATACAATCTGACTTCTGATTATCTTTCCCAAATGAAACATCTATTAAAAAACACATCTGGAAAAAAGCCATTATATTAAAAAAAATTGCTTACGATGAGTGTAATTGAGTTACAAAAACATATTTTGTAATGTTAAAACCCTACCCTGGAGATTCTGACATGTCAGAGAACAATGATAGAATAATTCTCACATAGAGATGGATATTGTGATGGAAATGCATTATGTATCTACATACCTGTGTCTTTCTGTGTGTATCAAGCAGTATTCATAAACATTCATATAACTAAATGGAAGCTGCAGATAAAACCATAATCAATTCTGAATATAATTTACCATCATTTCTCATGAAACAGGAAATCAGAGAGAAGTCAAGTAATGTTCTATGGTAAACAACAAAATTTTAGGACACCTAAGTTGAGGGTCTCTGGCACACATTAATGGTGTTACATATGGGCATGGAGGCAGAGAAGCAAAGAATGCATTTTGAGGCCAGCATCCTAATTCAGCAATTATCCAATGCTAATCAAAATTCCAAAATAGTTTTCCAAATATACTACCATGTTCCCCCGAAAATAAGACAGGGTCTTATTTTCTTTTGACCCCCAAAATATTGATTGTGCCTTGTTATCGGGGGGGGTATTATTTTGGGGTTGCCAGGTGGCTGCTCTCTTGCGAGCGGGCGCACAAAGAGCCAGGCACAGCCTCAGGGGCAAATGTCTGTGTTGCGCTGTCGCAGCAGCGCAACATACCAGCCATGAGGTGACCACTCTCACGAGCAGCCACCCGGCAACCTCACTTTCCAACCGGGCAGACCGCCACTCATGGACCCAGTGATATCCCAAAGGCACTAAGCCATGTGGTGCTCTGCCCTCCCCACAGCTCCCACGGTTTGACGCATTTGAGATACCCTTAGGTCAGTGCATGGCGCTCTGCTCAGTTGGAAAGGGAGGTTGCGCGAGCACCTGTTCCGTCCCCAGCTTGTGTGCCCCCCAGCCTCACCATGCCCTGGCCCAGCTCTCCCTGAAAGGCCAGGCGCTGCCGCCGCCGCCGCACTTCGAGCATAACCTATTCTCCAGCTTCCAAACTCCGTAGATCTGCAACCGAATCTTCCAGCAGTGGTTGCTCTGGGAGTAAACTCTATGGTTGTGGGCGGGCTGCCAGCCGAGCATACTCCCAGAATGTACAACCATAGAGCATATTCCCAGAATGGCAACTTCCAGAAGACTCAGCATTCTACCTCCGTGCTTTGGAAGCTGCAGAAAAAGCCATACGGCGGTGGTGGAGGTGCCCTGGCTCTGCAGGGAGAGTTAGGCAAGGGCATTGTGGGGCTAGGAGGTGCACGAGTGGGGAGGAGAAAAGCCACTTGCGCAACCCCCCTCTCCAGCCATGCAGAGCATGGGTCATTCCTAGGGTCATTCCAAAGAAGCCAAGCCACGGGAGCTGGAGGGCGGTGAACAGCCGCTCATGCGGCTTGGCGATACCTCTAGGTCAGTGAATGGCACTGTGCCCATCTGGAAAGGGAGTTTTCCAGGAGGCTGCTCAGCTGCTGCAACAGCGCAACACAGCCGTTCGACCCGGAGCTGTGCCCGGCTCTTCGGGAATCCGCTTGCAAGAGAGCAACTACCGGCAACCCCCCTCTCCAGCTGGGCACAACACCACTGACCAACGTAGCGGTATCCCAAAGGCGGCAAGCAACGTGAGCCTTTGCCCCCCCCCCCATTCCTGCGGCTTGGCACCTTCAGGATACCGCTAGGTCGGTGAGTGGCGCTCTGCATGGCTGGAGGGGCAGGTTGTCCAGGGGGCTTATTTTTGGTGGAGGGCTTACATTTTTGCCCACCAGAAAAATGTAGCATGGCCTTATTATCAGGACATGCCGTATTTTCGGGGAAACACGGTAACAGCTGCTAATAATACATGTTTAAATATGCTTTATTATATGAACCAGAGAAGAGAAATAAGTGAAAGTTTCTTGTATGAATACATTAAGAAGGGGATATCTTTCACTGTACCTTTATCCGTTGCCCTCCTTTCATTATTCCTGAGTGTTTTAAACCCTAGCAACTTGGAATGGCAGGGGCTTGGTGACTTCTCACAGCTGATACTTAAGGAAACATTGCCTCTATAAGCTTGGAATGGTATGAACGTTTCATCTCTTCCTCAGGTCATGGCAGTTGCAGGTCTGGATGCCACTAAAGTGCACAGACATTCTCCAAGTCGCTCAACACGTTCCTGGGCTACACCACCTAACCGGGACCGCACTCTTTATTACACCCCTCTCATACAAGTTGATCAACCTGATTCTACAGGATATATGAATGGTAGTTTGCCGTCTTTGCATAGGAGTTCCTGGTATACCGATGACCCTGATATTGCATATCGGACATTTACACCAGCTAATTTGACTGTACCAAGTGACTTTAGGCATAAGTATAGCGACAAGCAGAGAAGCGCCGACAGCTTGGTAGAAGCGGTAAGTGTTTCAGACCTTCGTTCTGAGCTGGTCATGAAATAACCTCTGAAAATGGAGTGTTATCTAACCTTACAAATACTTTGTTTTATCGTATTATGTTATGAGAAATGGTATATTCAGAATAAAATATACTTTGCATCAGGGGGTCAAACTGGCAGCCTGTGGACCAGACGCATCACGCTCAGGCCACGTCTACTCCACCTCTGCGAATGGGAAAAATATTGTGAAACGTCATGTGACAGCAACATGACGTCACGGGTTTGACACATGTGCTTTCCGGGATAAAATTATAACAATAGCAATAGCACTTAGAATTATATACCGCTTCACAGTGCTTTACAGCCCTCTCTAAGCAGTTTACAGAGACAGACTACTGCCCCAACAGTCTGGATCCTCATTTTACCGACCTCAGAAGGATGGAAAGCTGAGTCAATCTTGAACCAGTCAGGATCAAACTACTAAACTGTTGGCAGTTGGCAGTCAATGAAATTAGCCTGCAACATGCATTCTACTGTACCACCATGGCTCAAATTACATTCTTTTCAAAATACAATAAAGAAGATTTATTCTTCTATTTCATTTTTATCCAGAAGTATAGAGGTTAAAATAGTGTCATTTACCATTACCTTAGATCTGAATTTATGTTTTTTTAAATTAACACAAAAGATAATGCCTTAATATTCCACTGAACATAAGATGCTTATATACTATACAATATATATAAGCATTAAATATGATTCCATGACATTTGTGCATTTTGATAATAGTTTTTCCAGTCCTCAAGTTTCAAAATATAAAGACATAATCTGTCTAGAAAGCAAATGGCTGCTATTGGCAATTCTGCATGCCCTAATTGACAGCAGTCATTTGAATGAAAGGAGCATTCTGGCAATTTATCTCTGAAAAAGGAGATGTATTTTCTTAACATTGTGTTCTAAATGTGCAGTCAAGAAATTGGATGCGGGAGATCCAAAGCAAGCTTTGATACATTCTATACATGCATGAACACCTACTTGCATGTATCAATAACTTTTGGGTCTATGTCAAGTAATAGATTGCTTAGCAAATACAGGTCAATAGTAACAAATTATTTGCTAGATTATAAAAAAGCAAAACAGGAAGTTGGAAAATATTGTAGGTTTCTAAGAAACTTTAATCCAGGGGTGTCAAACTCAAGGCCCACGGCCAAATTCTGCTGCCCTGAAAACAGTGAAGGACTGACCCACGGTGCCTCTGCCAGTGAAAATGAAGCTTGGGAGAGCCATATGTGGCCCTCACAAGCTCTGTTTTCAGAGGGTTGCAGGAGACCATCACAGAGAGAATGGAGCTCAGAAGTCCTCAATGAAATTGTGTTTGAGAATCTCTTCAGTAATAGACCCAGGCTTGCCATATAAGCTTCTGCTGTTCTGCACTGTTGCTTTTGATAACATACTGCTAACATAATGTTTACGCTGTTACCTTTTCAGGTGCTTATATCTGAAGGATTAGGACACTATGCAAGGGACCCAAAGTTTGTTTCTGCAACAAAACATGAGATTGCAGATGCTTGTGACATGACTATTGATGAGATGGAAAGTGCTGCAAGCCACCTTCTCAATGGAGACATTAGCAATGGAACTAACGGTGACATGTTCCCTATTTTAAATAGACAAGATTATGAACTTCAAGAATTTGGTCCCGGCTTTAGTGATGAAGAGCCGGATCCTGGAAAATATGAAGAAGACTTATCTGATGAAATGATATGCATTACAACCTTATAGTATTTAGTGAGGAAAAAAAATGTTTGATTTTAAAACAAACAGAAGTGCCTCCTAGTTCTATGATGCTAGGCACTAGTTGGAATCAATAAGGAATCAAGCTTTGCATGAGTGATGATATTGTTATGTTGTGAGGAAGCCATACTTTTATTTATTAGTACGTGTTTCCAGTATGATGAATCAGGATTCGAATGATTTCTTCAAGGCCTTTGCTACAGAGTCGCGAGCTCATCAGGGAAAGAAGGCAGATCTTTAGAACCAAGAAGATTCTAACCCGTTTGTGTTAAAACAATAACAGAGAAAGTGGAAAGATTGCTGTCTTCCAATTGTGTTCTGCTGCCTTCCAGGGTGTTCACAATTCTCAGTGGAAAAAAGATTGGCACTTTTAACAAGGTCTTCAGAAGGCTGTGGTGATGACAATCAAAGATGTCATTACCTCTGATCACAAAGCATATCAGAATTCCACTGCATTCAGCATATCCACTCAGATATATTGTTTTCAATTTTGCTTATTATTTTGGGGGGGGAATAATTCCTTAATACATTTTATCAAACTCTTTTTTGCAAGAGATTGTTTCATCCACTGCTGAAAGCGTTTTTCTCATATGTAACAGCAGTTTACATAGTACAATATCATTAAAAATAGTCTGTTTTATGACTATCATATCAAGGGCAAAATACACTGGAATATTTGCATTTTTACTAATGCACTTGCAACCAGGTTAAAGTAGAGTTAGATAGGACAGTTTGTTAAAAACTATATAGCAGAGATTATTGTAAATAAATTCTAATCTACCATAATTTGTATTTGTAAAGAGATGTTCTATATTTTGTAATTATTGTACCGTAATTGAACCGCAGCAATATTTATGGAGCCTCATTATTGTAATTCTTCACTGAATTCTAAATAGAAGTATTTTTACTTGGACTGTATAGCACTATAGAATTAAATATTTAAATAGAGCCACCTTCATTATAAAATGTTTTTGAAGTAAAGATTAAAAAAAACTTAATGCAACACAGATTTTATAAAATATTTTCAGTCAATTGGATTCTCACTTTACAATGTTAAGATATAGAAAATGAGTAATTACAATCTTGTATTTGGAAAGTTATTTGGAATCTGCTGTCTTTTTGACAGAAAACAAACTGGATTTATTTATCTCTACGACTACTCTTGCAATAACAGCTAGAAACAAGAATAATGAAAAAGCTATTTGTTTGGCAAGGTTTTCTTTTACTTTGAAATAAACACAGATTGAAGTTCCAATCCTACATCATTTTCCTGATAGAAAGCCCTATTGTATAAAATGGGATTATTTTTAATGAAGGTGCATAGGATTGGACCATCATGAGTAGTATTCTTCTTGGTAAAGATTTCCTACAGAGATATAATTTACAAGATGGATAGTTAACAAGTTACACAACATAAAGTGGAATGTATGATGATGATGATGATGATGATGATGATGATGATTTACATAACCAAAACATTCCTAAACTAGTGAGAATATGGCATGGTTGACAAACTTTTTGATGTTCTACATGTAATGTTTCAGGATTTGTTTTTATGCAATCAAAGGAGGGCTTCAATGTTGTTTGTGATGCAGTAAAATCCCGATACTGAAGATGATATGATTTTGGAGATCAATAAATATCAAAAGTTTATTTTATTAATATTGGATAAATGGACTTGTTCTGCCAAGCAACTTTATCAGGGTTATCTGTATTAACAAAATAGGTAGCAACTGTCACGTTTCAAAAGTGACATACACAGCTAAGATTAATATAAACATTTTTGTACACAGTGGCAATTTGCTATGAATACCTTACAAACCTCTTCTTTCAAATGTCAGGAGAGAATTTAAAGGTTTGTACATTATTTCTTGACCTACATCATTTTGTATGAAAATAAATGCAAAATGTTACTGAGAATAAAATTGTGTAATAAAGTTATTATATGTTGTCTCTTTTTACCAAAATACGCAATTCTAAAGATTGGTGATTTCTTTTCGCCCCATAGTGTCTAAACTACGAGGTTCTACAGGCGTTGATTATTTCTTCTCTCACTGACTTGAGAATGTTTGTAAAGGGAGCAGTTTTCTAAGGAAGTAGGAATCAGTTCTCTTTCCTATGTTCACAACCTGAATTTGCAAGTGACGTCATGGCAACAGGAAACATACTCTGTCTGTGATCCAACTGAGGTTTTCAGAATAATGTACAGTGAAATGGGTGCCGCTGCTTTTGAACTATTGGTGGTGGTGTTGGATGGGTTGATGGAAGATTAGAACCATGAAACTGCACATCAGATGGGAGACAAGACACGAGAATTCAGTAGGGGGTTGGTTGCAATGGCTGTCATGACAAGGTAACAAAAGGAGCTGGTGTCAAGAGTTTGGCTTGTGGACCATGGCTGCCAGAATTGTCAAGCAAAAAGTGTTGATGCCTCAATGAAAGCTGGCCTGAAAATCTCACTAGTGAATTTGGGCAATGTATAGGATGAGGGTGGAGGTTCGTTCTCTGAACTTGTGGGTTGGTTTCTGAACTTTTCATTAACAGGCTGGGAACATCTTCAGCAGAGTTTAGGGGATGTCGGTGTCAGTGTTCTGTTTATAAGGGCTTTATATAGTCAGCAGGTCCTGTGATAGTGAGGTCACATCAGGTGAAAGTCATATTAGACCAAGGTCTTGTGATGGGTCAGGAGTTGGGTGTGTTAAGTGAGGGTTTTGTGGTGGATTTTGTAATGGTCCAATGTGGGTCACCAGTGAGAGTCTTGTGATATGGAGGTTACATCAGGTATGTAGATTGGGATGTAAAGTGCTGATTGGGGGTTGGTTGAGGGTCGGTACTGTTTCTGGTTGGCTGTGCTGTTGATTTGAATTCTAGGCTGGATGTATCTGGATGGAGACTGTAGGCTAGATGTAGCTCAATGTGTCTGTTGATTGAATGTACAGGGTCTTAACAAGCCATAGAAGGACCAGAAAACAGTGAGAAGTTTTGCCCTTTCAAAGCTGTTGAAGCCTTTGGGGACTATGTAACAAGAGTCAACCTGGATGAGAAGTAGGAAATCACTGACAATATCCTTCTTCTCCAAAGTGAAATTAGGATTGATCCTCTAAACTCCTGTCACAGTGGGGTAGAAACTGGGTCAGGTAAAATTAGAAGGAATAGAGAAGGGAAAATGGATATTTGGCTGAGATCAAAGTTAGGCGGATTACTGCTAATTGAGGAGTGTGGCAGAGATAATCTCTAAGACAATGTCTAGTTGGCTGAAAGGCAGTGAGGATGGCATGTAGGCAACTTGAGGGGAAGGAAAAAGTAAAGTGTAGTAGTTTCAGGTCAAGTCAAGGAAGTTATTATGATAGTGGTGCTGGGAAAACCATTATGGAAAGGGAGAGAGGTACTTTGGTCCTTGGATCTTGCCATTCAAATTCTGATGGTTGATGAACAAACAAGCTAGTGCACATTACTGAAACCTGAAATCTATGAAGGCATAGATGCTACTCTTTTAGAGATAGGCTCTCCAAGATTCTGACTTCTTCACTATTCATGATTCTAAGGAAAGGGAAGGAGGATGGCTGTGACACCCAGGGAAATCTTGATGGTAATCAAAGGCACTCTAAGGTGATATGGTATCTGATTCCTACTCTGTGATATGGTATCTATGTGGAGTTCAGGCTGTAGGAACAAGTAGGGAATAATATTTATCTATCACTTGCCAGGCTGCATGGCTAATCTCTTCCTGAAATTACAGAGTTGGATTTCAAACCCTCTCAGTTGCTTATGCTGGAGTATTTCAATCTTCAAGCCTCCATTGGCTCAGGACAACCATGAACTCTTCTTAAATAATATTTGCACTGATGCATGTACATAGTTTCATATTAGAATTCTTCTGTCTCAGTCCACCTACCCCATCTTATCATTCCATCTTATTGCTCTTTCTTTTCTGGAGGCCTTGGCATACAAAAATGTAGTTTAGAAGTTCCTGTAAATACAGCTCATTGATTAATTTAACCTTCTGTGTGACTGGGTTAGTTCACTACTAAATCCATCCTCCTATGGGTTAGCTGATTAGCCATTTTTAACAGAACACTTCCCAGTTGTTCTGTTGATTAAAGTCAACTTCCTCTAGTTTTCAATTAAGGATGTAAACAATCTTGCTTAATGAGACCAATTCAATGCAAGGCCTTTATTACTCTCTTAATGTTTCTGAACAATGACAGAATAAATTATGGTAGTGCCTATAGTAAACGTGAGCAAAACATATTAAAGAAACCTGAGGCTAAACATAATAACTATATTAATTAGAATTTGTTTATTTCAGAAATAAAATATTTTTTACAAAGCACAAGCATAATTTAACCATGATTATTTCTACTAAAATCACTTCAGCATGACTTCTATTCTTTTAAAATTATTTAGTGACAATTGGGGGGAAAAATGACCTAAATGTACCAGATACAAAATATAGATCAAAGGTCTAACTTGAACATAATTCTGCTTCAACTATTTAGAATGACAATTCTATTTCATTCTGAGATTAAATGCTGCCTTGTGTACTAGAAAAAATACATTGCTATTTTCTCTTACCTTTAGACTGGATGAAATGTATTAGCCCATCAAATCAAAAGCCATAAACTACATTCTATTTGTTGTTATTTTCCTTTCCATTGTTTTGTATTAATGTACAAAATCTGACTTCTGTGGTTAAAAATGTACTGTGCATACCATCAAATATTTGCTTACAACAATTCTGTGGTTAATTAGATGCTTCCAAGCATCTATTATTAACAAATATTAACTGAAGTAAAGCATTATTTCTAGTGTACATCCTTTTTCTTGACACTGAAAGTAGATTTTTGGTTTAGTGGTATAGAAAAACATATTAAGTGCTGCTACTCTTTATACATGTTCCTATAGAAAAAGTAGGCCAAGATTGGCTCCAATGGAACCAAACTTCTAGTGCAGATAAAAAAGTTACCGCTGCGTTTCCAGAGTTTTGGGTTTATATACTGGAACATTTTTCCCTTGAAGCGGTGGTAATCCCAAGATAATATCAGCAGCCTTCTCTGCTATCATGATGGTTGGGGCATTTAAATTCCCGCTAACAATACTGGGCATTATTGAGGCATCAACTACTCTTAAATTTTCTGTGCCTATAACTTTGGTCTCAGGATCAACCACAGCAGTAGGATCAGAATTCTGTCCCATTTTGCAAGTGCACGAAGGATGATAGGCACTATCAGATTTTTGTCTTACGAAAGCATCTATTTCTTTGTCAGACTGAATATGTTCCCCTGGTTGAATCTCAGGTCCCCGGAATTCTTCAAATGCTTTCTGAGCAAAGATCTCCCTGGCTAATTTCACACACTGGCGAAACTCCCAGACATCTATTTCTGTTGAAAGAAAACACAACAAAGCCACAATGATTCCATGTACAACCAATATGAATATTAATGCTACATTATTTTCTTTTCAGACAACCATTCAGAGTAAAATGGCACAACCTAAGATACAGGAAAGGCAGGTAAGGTGGATATCACTTTTGAATTTGTATCTATTCACCAGTGGTAGGTTTCAAATTTTTTTAGAACCTCTTCTGTAGGTGTGGCCTGCTTTGTGGGAGTGGCTTGCAAGCCATGTGACCGAGTGTGAGTGGCTTGTTTGTTTGTTTGTTTGTTTATTGACATTTATAGGCCGCCCTTTTCCCTGAGGGGACTCAGGGCGGCTTACAATTAATAGGGAGGGAGTGCAAGACAGAACACAAGNCTTTCCCTTGTCTTTTGTGAGCTGCCCAGAGTCCTCCGGGAGTGGGCGGCATACAAGACAAATAAATAAATAAATAAATAAATAATAAATGAATGAATGAATGAATGAATGAATGAATGAATGAATAAATAAATAAATAAATATTGAAAAGAATTATAAATACCATCATCATAAAATGGTGCTCGCTCAGAGGCTGAAATACACCAAGTAAATGAGACGAATAGTGTAAAGTAGAGAAGAGAGGTAAGGGAAGAAGAGAGGGATAAGAGAGAGGGCAGGGGAAGGGGGGAAGAGGAGGAGAGAAAGAAGGAGTGGAAAGGGGAGAGAGGAGAAGGAGAGAGGAAGGGGAAATAGAGAAGAGAAGAATGACAGAGGGAAGAAAGGAGGGAGGGAGGAGGCAGAGAGAGGGAAAAGAAAATGGTGGGTAAGGTACAAATATGGTGTATGGGCAGCAGAAGAAGCAATAATTGTTTTTGGGAGTTGATGGTAAGACGAATCGATGTAAACATTTATTAATATAATACGATCTTGGTTATGTAACAGTATACATGTGGTTATTTGTTATGAAAATGAAAAAATAAAAAACTTTATCTATAAAAGAAAACCAGTATTGTTATACAACAGTAACAATAGTTATTTGTGCTTCTATTCTAAACATTCTTTGTATTGCTGCAACAAAACAGTCTAGAAACATGAGTTTCCTGTTTGTTACAAGCAATTTAACAACTATGCATTTTTTAAAAACCCAGTGAAACAAAGCTACTTGCAAACATAGTCTGAACTTCTGAAAAACCCTTGATTTCCTTATCTGGAATGAAAGTGTGTCAAATGAATCATCTACAAGAAAAATCTATTATGAATGGACACATTTATTAAAGCTTTACTTTAAAAGCTGATTTTATCTCTCTAGCAAAATGAGAACGTAACAAGATATAATTCTAAATCATACCTGTGGATTTCCAGAACCATTCAAGACCAATTTTGATCATCCGAAGAGGCTTTTGTGATTTATACAGTGTTAGAGGTTGAGTGCACTTTTGCTGTATATACACTTCCAAATGATCTTGGAGATTATGGCCAACCCCTAGTAGAAATGACAAGAAATGTCCAATATATGTACACTACAAATATTTACTATACTTAAAAATGTATGGAATTGGGACATTGCAGCAGTTTGGTTTCAAAAGCAGTAATGCTTTTCAAGTGCCCATGGGTGCCTATGCAGCACTTGTCTGCAACTCTATAAATGAAATTGGTCTTTCTAGGGATTATGTGATTACTAGGAGGGAATTCATGTCATCCTAGGAAAGGACAAGGCTGATTTAAGGAGTTCTGGGCAGAGGCTATGTGAACTTCTAAACACCCTTTACTTTCAAATCCAACACAACCTTACATGGAGTTATACTGAATCTATCATACATACCTGAAAGATGGCAGACAACAGGGATTCCTAATTTTTTTAGATCGTCTGCATTTCCAACTCCAGATAGCATAAGTAACTGTGGAGAATTTATGGCACCACCACTTAAAATAACTTCCTTACTAGCAAAAACCTAAAATAAAATAATAGCAATGTAATCAGACTAAATTTTGATAGATTAAAGTCAATACAAAATAATGTTACTGATTTGTAGCCCTCAGTTTTCATACTCCTTGGGTTATATCTAGAGGTTTTGTAATCTAGACAGTTTGAAATTATTAAAATATGCTCGTATCTTTTTAAGTAAACTTTCTTCTTAAGCAATGCTAACGTTTCCTGTGCGTCCAAACTTATTTGCTAAACTTTTCTCCTTGCTACCATTATTCTTCAAAATTTAAAATTTAATACTGAATCAAAGGCAATTTTATTAGTGCAAATAATGTATTGTTCTCCTTACAAATGCCTCTTTCCCCCCTAAACTGTATCTCACGTTACTCAAATAATCCCATTAAAATAAACATTTGCTTTGTATCATCAGTCAAAAGAATAATCTCATCATGTATCAACCCAAAAGAACCCACATTCTGAAATTTTTAAAAATATATTGGGTTCTCACATTCTTCTAATGAATAGTCATCTGGCAGCACAAATCTACAAGTGACTGATATCCTTTATTTCTCTGAAAAAGAGTTATCTCAGAATGATGATCTATTTTCCTTCAGACATCTGTTATCATCCTTTCTAATTTAAAGTTTACAATAACTGCTTAGAGAGAGCTGTAGAGCACTGTAAAAGGGTATATACCGGTAAGTCTAAGTGCTATTGCTATTGTTATGCTGGTTACCATACAGCTTCACAATATTTGTTCTTTGTCAACTGGTTTGTGAATCTATTAAATAGCAGTAAATTTTGTTTTGATTCTTACAATAGTAATTGTTTATGTTTCTGTTCTCGATTTTCCCCTTGCTACAAGTTATACTGTTCTGGCTCCTTCTTCTCATATGTTCTAATTTGGTTCACATGTCACAAGAAGTATTAAAAATTACTCTGAAGTTTGAAGGAAAGTATTAGAACTTAGTAAATACAGATTTTTTTCCCTCTTTAAAATATTAAAATGATAGGAATCTCAATGAAAGAAATACCTATTTTCAAACCAATATGGATTTCATTTCTAGAAGTTATTGGGAGTGGGGGGGATCTGCTAACTCAAAAACCAACATAAATGGAAAACTGAAATTAACTCCATCTGCAGAATGGGGTGGTACCCATTATATTTTGATCATGTTACTGCAGTGCTTTATTGAGATTTATACTTAACATGGATTTAAGTGTCAGTTGTATTTTGCTCTTATTTCAACAATATAAGAAGCTTCACTACAACTCTAATGAGCCAGAAATGAAGTTAGTATAAGTTGATTGCTGGTTGATTTGCTTTTCAGAGTTGAAGAAAGAATACTGTACATTCTTACCTTTTTCTTTTCTCCATTTTTAATATACTCAACACCAATTGCTTTGGTCCCCTCAAATAAAATTTTTGTAACAAATGTACTGACTTCTGCAGACAGGTTTGGACGTGATAAAGCAGGACGAAGGTATGCACTAGCTGTATTCCACCTTTTACCTACAAAATACATGTTTTTATTGTAATAGTAACCAACACATATAATGTATGTTATTGGGTGTGGTAAACTTCTCTGGAAAAATCCAGTTTTAAATTTTTTAAATTTTTAATGAATAAAATAAATACCAAAATAATTTTATCTGTTATAATGTGATTATATATTAACATTCTTTAAAGTTATTACTGTAGTCCACAAAAGATTCATCAAGGCAGAGCAATAATGCAAATTTGTTTTAAAGAGACAAAAATGCTAAAACAATATTAAAAAATTAATCCTAGATTTTTCAGTGAGAAGGATCTTATCATGATACCATACACCAGGGGTCCCCAACTCCCAGTCCGTGGACTGGCACAGGTCCACAGCATGCTAGCAGGCTGCGCAAACAGGTGAAACCCCATACGTGAGATGCAGGCAGCACACAAAACCATGTCTCCTCTGGTCCACGGAAAAACCTTTCTTCACAGAACTGGTCCTTGGTGCCTAAAAGGTTGGGGGCCACTGCCATACACCATTTACAAGCCTGATATTCCTGCTGCTATATGTGTGGGTAGAAACCAATTCAAACCCCAAATTTCAGTCTACCTCTTCAGTTGATTGACTGTAGGTTTAACATTCCCTTGATTTAGATTGTTTACTTTTCTAGCTTGATATTGAAGATAATGTTTGAACACATTGAGACATTCCTTGCACTCATATTACAATACTGTATCAGATGTGATGCTGAAGAAGACACTTTCTAAAATTCTGAATGAATTCTTCCTAGCAATTCAATACAGAATATTAAATAACTGAAAAAGACCAAGAAGAGCCATGTAGAAAACTGTATTGCCTGTATCAAATAATCTCCCTTTGGATTTTACACTTAAAAAGTGTAAAATCAACTTGGATCACCATGAAGAATGCTGCTAAAGTTCTACTCTATTGGCCAACAAGAGGTTTCAAGGGAGTAGGGCGGCACTCAACCCATTCAGCTTCTAACAAAAAAAAACTACCAAAGTGATTAGAATGGTCTTAAATCAACATGCATCCAAATGCATAAGGGACTATGTCAGCTGCCAACTCATACCCACTTGTGCTTCGATACCATGTGTTGACAGTCTGCCATGGACTATGGGGAGGGGGGATGCTTGGGGGAAAGTGAAAGTAAAGGCTGCTTGGGGAAAACGAGAGTAATTGTTGCATCCCCCCTCCCCTCGCTGCTTGGTTTATGTTCCCAGAATGGTGTTTCAGGGTCACCTGGCTGGGAGAAAAATCACAGCTGCATACCAACCTTGGAAGGAACCATTCTGAAAACATCTTGCATGAACCTGATTGATCATTGGGGGTGGGGGGCAGTGACTGGACACAGGTAAGGGAAGGGAAAGTGGAACTTAGGGATTTTGGTGTGCTATTCTCTCAATTCTGGCTATGCACTACTGCAGTGCACTAGATTTCTAATAAATCTATACCTGTCTCAACAAATGGAGCCAAGGATTGTTTCTATTTAGAGGTTTATGTTTGCGGCAGATGTGACAGACTGTTATAATTTCATTTAATGCTTCCCATAAACAATGGATGTCAAAATCTTTAAGTATGGCATGCAGTACTGGCCCTAAATCTACATTAATGCTATATTCTGGGTTTAATCCAGGCATTTATTTCAATTTTAACAACTGCCATTGTGGACAATTACAATTATCTAAGGATTGAGCAGAAACAATTTTAAGTTGCAGTTCTGGATTTATATGCCAAACTTCTTACCTTGGCAAAAGAAGTGTCTACCTTTACATACAACCTTTAAAAAGGAAATAGCTTAAACGAAAACCAGATGGTTAATGTGTTATATCATTCAGTTGTTGCTCTACTGTGTATTTAATGTGGAAAGAAACTGAGCTGTCAGCCAAAATAAACATTTACAATGAACCAGCAAATGAATGAAGTTAATACTGGCTATGAATTTATAATTTATTTATTTATAAAATTTATAGGTCACCCATCTAACCTCAGAGTAATTCTGGACAGCTTACAATAATAAAAAATGAAAACTATTTAAACTGAAAATATAAATAAATTTGTTTAATCCCATGTTCATATTGATTTCTAAAGATTAAGCATTTTCTTGTGGGAATTTTGTTATGTATATATATAGGCACTATACTGGCAGGAGGAATATTTCAACTTTGATTTTTGTCCAGAGAATTTTACAAGACATACTCATCACAAAGATTAATTTGATGATATATCATGCAATGTCAGTTTTTCCATAATGAAATTTAAAATCAATTATTACTTGGTATAAGGTTTATGCTGTAATTTATTTTATTCACAGTTGAACTTTGAAGTGAAGGGTAAACTTGAATACAGCAGTTTCTGGGAAAACTATGAAAACAGGCAAAATGGAGAAAACAGCTTTAGGATGCACACTGTGCTGTCCCAACAGTATTTTTATGCCAAGCCTTTGTTTATCTTTAGTTAAAGGTTAGTTGATAGTGGAATTTATAATTCCCAAGCGTGGAGTTAACTGGCTGCCCGAGCAGAACCCTCATTGCCCGGAGCAGAACACAGACAGTACTCCTATGTGGCAATGTCACATATGTGTTTACCAGAGGACAGGCTTGCATCACAACATCAACTCTGTCATGTTGCCTGTTTTGATAAATTACTCTGGAAACTGCTGCTTTAATCNTTTGGTATATTTTATGATGAAGGACGCTTAAACAATTATAGTCAAATGAAAATGGAGACATGATGATGGTTACATGTTTAAATATTTGAGTTAAAATTCTTGAGTTAATATGAAATAAGTTTGTTGACTGTGGAAGAGATGCACGAAAGTCTTTTTGTAACCAACTGATACACTTTCTACAGCATGTAAAGAAGGCTTGTGTTTGTTTTAAATTAAAAATAAATTTAAAAAATTAAAAAAGACTTTAAGGTTTAGATAGGACTCTTAGAGGGGGGCGGGGCAATTGGTGAGCCAGCCAATCAGTGAGTGGCAGGTGGAGCAAGCGTGGTGCGGACAGGTGGGAGAAGGGAGCTGGAACCGGTTCTAAACGGCATGGTAGATTTGTGGAACCTCTTCTATAGAAGAGGTTAGAACTGGCAGGAACCCACCTCTACTATTCACCATAAGAGAAAGAGAAAAATTTGAATATAAAATGAGGAAAATTGAATAGGTTTCCTGTATATACCATTTAGCAGAATAGCGAATGATTCTTGTTAAGGAAATAATTATCACTGTCTGCATCTTCTGCATTTCATTTATGTTATACTTTAATAATTAACAGAGTTTATTTTATGCATTTGATGGATTACAATCAACAAACATATGTGCCATAAAAATGTTTATTTTTTAAAAAATCTGCAAGACTTTATAATAGTTATAATGGTTTGACATAACAATTTAAGATATCCAGCCTTGTGATGTGCATTTTTTTCTCCCATAGAAACAAAATGGAGTTACTCACATGTGTACTAGACCCTATGCAAAAAGAGATGCTGGCCTTAAGTATGAAACTTTTTGCCTAAGGAAATCCAGTTAAACTGGATTGTCTGAAAACTCCAGCATAATGAAGTCTCTGACCTTGTTTGGACATTACAATAAGCCATCATTTTTCCAAAGTGCTCAGTAACATTGAACAAATTAATCAATGTACATTGCCTTAGCAATCCTGATTAATCATGACCTAAACAGAGAACATATTTCTTCATTAATGAAAACAGAGATAAAAATCAGGGAATACTTGTCCTTGATTTGTTTCTTTCCAAACTGGCATTTTCAACCAGAACAAATGAAAATCTAAATCAAAGAATAAAAACTTGCTTCAGCTTCTGGCTAGTTAAGAAGAGAAACTCTGGCCAGTTGCTCCTGACACTCTTCCCCAACTTAAAAGAGATCTGATCATTATAGTAACCCAAAGTATGCAGAAAGAGTGAGGCACTTAAAATGGGAAGTTGAGGGCTTTATGAGTATCTGGAGAGATGCTACAGGTAGTCCTTGAGAAAGTCCCTTTATTGGGATCAACAATGTAGTCATTAAGCGAAGTCGTTGCTAAGTCAAAGTGTGATCGTGCTTATGATCTTATTTGAGGTTTCCTTTGCTTTACAATCATATAAAGCTTGTAAATGTGAGGACTGGACATGAAGTTACTTTTTCATCACTGCTGTAACTGCAAACTGTCACTAAACAAGACAGTTGCTGAACAAGGACTATCCATTGCAGCAAGAGCAGCAAAAAACAAGCCTCGCTTTCTAGGTCCTACTCAGGAATTACTGTGTCTGACAATCCTGACAACTTCTAGAGAATAGAAGACTTAAGCACGATGGGGAAATAGTTACTTGTACTCATTTTGCACATGTGGCAAAGGATAATCTTTACTAGATAATGCAGTCACTATTCCATGTTTGACAAAGTTCAGGACTGATGGAAGAGGAAAAAGTACAAAGAAATAAGAAATGCCATCAAAATAAGACTACCGGTATGGTATGCCATTGTCTATAGAAGGTGTAATTGTCTATATTGTGTGGTATAATTATATAGAAGGTGAGTTTAATTTTAAGAATAGAATATAAATAATTATACATTTACCTGTTGACAAATAATTAGGCTCAAGGATTGGATGCTCAGTAGGGTCGGAACTCTTCAGCTTCAGCTTTCCTACACTGGTACTTCGCATAGGGCCAATGTGGACCTGTAACAATTCCAAAAAGATCCATGGTATATGGCATCTAAGGGTTCATTATAAAATAACTAATGGGATTCAGTGAAACGTGGGGTTTCATGAGTTATTTAGAAACTTCATAGTTGATTTAGACAATTATTCCAGGTTTCAAAGCTTGGTTTCATTACTCACTGGCTTTGCAGTGAAAATCACATCTTGTATTAATCTGGAGCTCTTATATTTAAATGAGGGTAGTTTGTTTAATATTAACAAACATAAGATATTCACAAAACCCTTTACAATGGGAAGATGCCTTCTTAGTTATAGGATGAATTACATTGTCTATACCTATTGAAAGAGAACCTATGCCATCTCTGGTTAAGCCTTCTGGCCACCAACAAAGGGATTGGGAACTATTTCCAAAAGTACAATATGCTTCTTTAATTATATGAACAAATATATTCCAGGAAAATATTTCTGTCCAGTGGATATTCTATATAGTAATTGGTATTACTACTCACTTGATAAGCTTCCAACTGGGAAGCAACTCGTCCATGGTCAATCACCTGAGAAGGGAGGAAGTGGAACTGGATATCTGGGTGAGAAATGCCTGGACGACTTCTTATAAATCCACCAGTTTCCAAATGGGCAGTGGCTCCATCTCCTGAAAGGTAGAATACCAAACATCAGATACATGAATAATGAAAATGGAAGAATGAGGATTTCAAAAAATCATTTTACATTCCCTGTATTTTATATTACATTCTGCTTTAAACATTCATCACACACAGTAAAAGTTGTGTCTAAGTCTCATTACCTTTCTGGTTGGAGCCTAGCTCGCAGGGCATAGTTACATAACACAATAAATAACATAACACAAAATATGCTTTACAAAGCTAGAGTGTTAGAGTCACATATGTTAGTTCAAAACAAACCATAATTGTATTATAGCTTATGAAATAAAGAGAAGGTCTCATTTATCATGAAAGCATTCACAATTCAAATAGGTTTTCTTTTCACCTTAGAAATAGTTCTTTAATAACATGAAATGTAATTTGTAATCAATAGAATTGCTTTTATATTTTATTTGATTATTTAAAAATATTTAAATATATATAATATATTCACATATGTTTTCAATTGCCATAGCTGTCCTAAAATTATTGCACTTGAGAATGTTAAGCTATTAACATGGAGTAGTGGTAGTATTTTATTAGAGTTATTGACCAGCACACAAGAAAACCAGCGTTGGATTCGACTGGAAGTTTTCCAGCTGGACAGATGAGGGGGTGTGAGCTCTGAAGAGTCTCACATGAACTCTGTCTGACAAACCAATTCCAAGATCTTTTTTGGATGAGAACCTCCCTGTGTGTGTGGGTGGGGGAGAGTGAAGAAGGGGCAGTGTCTTAGAGGGAATGGTCCCTCGTAGGTCGGGGATTTGCTCTCTGAATCGGAGTCGAGGCGGCAGCATGGCAACATGGCTGCACAAGAAGCTGACTTCAGACCAAAGCAACTGAGCAATAGTGTGCAGGAGACAAGATGAAAGCCTTTAAGAAGATCTAATTAACCCAGAGTCATAAATCAGAATTTGAAAAAGGAAAAGAACCTTGAGAGTATAAATAATATTGATGGACAGATCGAGATTTTGGCAAAAAGAAAGAAAGAAGGGGAAAAATGGAGGGTTGAATCACTAGTCCAAAAAAAGCCATTTGTTTGAAACAATGTGGACATAAAGGAGAAAGTAGAGAAGTGACAAACCCACTCAACTACAAACTCTAAATTTGGTTTTGGATTTGAAAGGATTGTGTTTTTAAAAGAGACCAGGAGGGTGAAACAGAAACCAAAACATACCGAGAAGATTTGCTTCATTCAAGTTTCTTCTAACTAACATATTTTAAGCAACTCCAATTAATGAGAGGTGGAATGCAACAAGGTAAAAAAATCAAGAAAAAAAGCACTATTTTCTCACTGATAAACTAATCTTGCTTGTGCGGCGAATGGAATGAGAAACTCTTGAGGAGGAAGATTTAATTAACCAATTGCCATAAATCAGAATTTGGAAAATCAGAAGGTGAGGAGAAACATACCAGAGTTTGGCTGTATTCGAGTTTGTTCCAATTAATATATTTTGAGCAACTATAACCAACGAGAGGAGCAAGGGGAAAAAAATGATAAAGTCAAGAACCGGGAAAATATGAAGTTTTTTCTTCTGCAGAAGGAAGAACAAAAGATCAAGATGGCTCCTGCTTCTCTTCCTCTTCACATTAGCTGAATTAGCTAAATTTAAGGTGGGCCAGAACTTTGAAATAAGAACTATATAGCTAACTGTAATTTTGGAACTGGACATTAAGCTAACAAGGGTGGGGGAGGAATAAAATTAAGAGCTTACAAAGGGGTTTCTTTTTTGTTGCCAAAGGAAGAATACAGGATCAAGATGGCTCCCACCTCTCTTCCTCTCCACATTAGCTGAACTAGCTAAATTTAAGGTGGACCATAACTCTGAAATAAGAACTGCATAACTAAATGTAACTTTGGAACTGGACATTATGGAAAGGTGGGAATTTGAAGAACTACGTGAAATTATAAAAAATATGCATACATCATTAATATCAAGTAATTTTGAAGTCAGATATTGAGAAGAAGCAAGAAGTGAAGAAAGAAGAGGAGGGATAATGAAGGGATAGAAACGGTGGAAAATAAAAAGCAGACAAAAAGCATCATTGGGTTTGACAGTGGTATAGGAAAATTTGAAAAGGAGTATGTGTCCCAACAAAAGGAAATAAAAAGCAGACAAAAGATCTCACTGACAGTGACATAAGAAAAAAATGAAGAGGGGGTTATGCCCCAACAAAGGGAAATACAAAAGATTTCACCGGGTTTGACAGTGGCTTGGGGAATTGAAGAGGGTGGACATGTCAAAACAAAGAAAAGGGAGAAGACAGGAATAGAGAAGTGGGACAAAAGACTTTTCCTAAAGACTTAGGAAAAAATCAGACAAATAAAAATTGTTATATGGGAAATATAAAGCTGAGATATGTGGTTTACTCCTATACGTGATAATAAAACTGAGTTGCTAACTGATTGAATATGATAATGGAAAGATAAATAAAGGTTAAAATATATGGAATATGGACAAATATAAAACTGTTATGTGGAGNGCCTTTGTTTATCTTTAGTTAAAGGTTAGTTGATAGTGGAATTTATAATTCCCAAGCGTGGAGTTAACTGGCTGCCCGAGCAGAACCCTCATTGCCCGGAGCAGAACACAGACAGTACTCCTATGTGGCAATGTCACATATGTGTTTACCAGAGGACAGGCTTGCATCACAACATCAACTCTGTCATGTTGCCTGTTTTGATAAATTACTCTGGAAACTGCTGCTTTAATCGTCCAAAAGAATCTATGCTGAGTAAGAACTGTGTCTGATGCTATCAACCCTCAGACTAGAAATAAACATATCAGTCGCTGTGTTTAAATTTCACGCTGAAAATTTCACACTCTAATAATTACATTTATAAAGTTTCTCATTTTTCTATTTGTGTAATTTTGAAAAATATTCCAGTTTACGCTAATTTATGGCGATAAGATTAAATAAAATTATTTACAATAATCTTAATACTGGTAATCCTCGATTCACCATACTTGTTTATTGGTCAAAGTTACAATGGCACTGAAAAAATTAATTTGCATCTGGTCTTCACACAACCTTCTCATCATCCCTGCAGTTACATGATCGAAACTGGGGGCTTGGCAAATGGCATATATTTAACACAACGGTTCCTGTGCCCTAGAACCACATAATCACAATTTGCAACCTTCCCTGCTGGTTTTCAACAAGCAAAATCAAGCTGGATTTGCTTAATGACCATAAATTCACTTAGAGCCGCTCTATGATGGAGATGGGCAGTCTCTACAAATGATATATAAATAAATAAATAAATTTGCAACTGCAGTGATTCACTCCACAATAGCAAAAAATAATAATAATAATAATAATTGTGAAATTGAGTGTCATCCATTTAACAACCACCTTGCTTAGCAACAGAAATCTTGCTCCCAATTATCATTGTAAGTTGAGGATTACCACACGGGTGGGTTCTGGTAGTTACTACTGCCAGTTCATTCGTGGTCATGCTGTGTGCATATGCTTTTGCATGTATGCGCAGTGCAATATATTCTGTGCATGCGCAGAAGCAAAAAACAAGATGGTGGCACCTAGGGCACTGCCAGTTCGGGGTCATGGCAGGCCTGGGTTGCTGCCGGTTCCAGCGATCCAGGCCACCAATCCACTACCGGTTTGGACAAATTGGTCCAAACTGGTAGGAAACAACCACTGGATTATTAAATATATCTGGTATTTGTTTAATTAACTAATGTAATTTAAATTTAAACATTAAACAAAATTTAGGTTTGATATATAGCCCTCAATATTCCACTTAACTACCAGGAGTAGCCCTTGTCTCCCTCCCAAAGTTTCACACCTCTGGTCTAGTCCAAATTCTTTCTCAATGTATGCTATTAGGCCCTTAAAGGAAAACAACAGCCATTATAGGCTTTTTTCATTATGAAAACATTTCCAAACCATTATAAGAGTTTACGAAGACTGGTGTTCATGGCTACTACACAACATGGCTTCCAAACTGAACACGTCAAAGCTAACCTTCATATATTGTCATATCCATCCAGCCAAAGCCTTCTTGTTGAAAACCGTTCATATCGTCTGTGAAAGGGTACCCAGCTTGCTGAGCTGCATCCAGGAATGCACAATGAAGAGGGTTTTTTGTTTTTCCCCTTGACACATGAAGTGGGCCGTCCCCTCCTCGATAAAGATCAGCCCCCAACTCATGCGTTTGTGCTTTCTTAAAATACGGCAAACAGAACTCATAGTCCCATCCAACAGCCCCTTCTTTACTCCACCTATTATAATCTTCTGCATGGCCTCGAATGTACACCATGGCATTGAGGGATGAGGAACCACCCCAGACTCGTCCTCTGGGCCAGTACAGGATCCGATTATCCATGTGTTTTTGGGGTGTTGTATGGTAGTACCAGTTATATTTCTCATCACAGAGATTGTAAGTTAAAGCAGCAGGCATATGGATCTTCCACAATAATTGTTTGCTACCTAAAACAGTATCTTTTGGACCTGCTTCAAGTAGCTTCACTGTATTGTGAGGATCTTCAGTCAATCGGTTGGCTAAAACACATCCTGCAGATCCAGCTCCAACTATTATATAATTGACAGAGTCCATATTTTTAGAATTAACTGGAGAGGATGTTTCTGAAGATCTCATCTTTTGTCCATTGAAAGCTTTTGAACTCTTCAGTATATATCTTTTCAATAATTCTTTGTGGGCTTGACAGATAAAGCCATGCTTTTGAGCACCTCTGATTAAGAAAGACATTGTTTCCTATGTTATTTCAGATGTAGTCAATTTGGGTTCAAATATTCTGACCTAAAAAGGGAAAAAGTGATCTTAATAAAATGAAATATATAGAATATATAGTAGTGTGTGATATAAACTATAGTTAAGTCACGGTATCATTTAAAATGGCTTAAATCATACATTTTTAAGCAAATTGAAATATTGGGAGAGGCAGGATAAAAGACATAAAATTTGAATTTCTTTGAATGGCTGCTAGGTTAGTGTACATCTAATATGAAAACTTTTGTTGCCATTGCAAAACTTCTTCACTTTATGGATTGTTAAACAAAATACTTTGTAGTTCCTCACACACATTTCATCCAATTGGGACAAAACTCATGTGTTACTTCGCATTTCTCAAAAGCCAAACCACTTTCAACATGACTTCTTATTCACTAGTTGTATTTCTCTTTTTTATAGACTTTCTGGAGAACTGAGAGGTATCAAGGGAATGGAAATGTCCCAGGTAAGTTGGTATGAGTTCTTTCAAAAAGCCAAAATTAAGTTTAACTTAGGTATTTTGCCCCCCCCCCCCCAAATCCACTTTCAAACCATCCCACTATTTTCTCCTACCCCCATTTTGGGGCACTGATCCTCCTGATAGGTATTCAGAAATGTGCATTAAATCCAATTAAATCCAATATAGGTTCAAATGTCCATGACAGCTGTGGAGAAAGTTCACTCCACACAATGGTCCTAGTCATCAGGCTAGGCAAAAAAATAGGTTTTGTGTAGGTTTCTTCCTTAAGCTAGGAGCTATTTGTTTTTATTTACTGCACTAAGCTCCAAGGCAGCAGATATGGTGTATCCCCTCATTAACATTGGTGATGTTAATTAGAAGTGTGAGAATGATCTCTCTGATGAAGGGGAATTATGAACCTCCTCCAACATCCAGCACAGTAGAGTACCGTACACTGCTTCAGAGACTACACTCCCCTCTAAATATTTAAGTTTTAAACACCTAGGATGCACGTTTCAAGTCCTGCTTATAGTCCCATTTAAAGAGATAGGAGGTTTAAACAATCAAAACAGGCAAACTCTGAAATGCAGAACCGAGATTAATTTTCTGCAGAACAATACTTCCAATTTTAATTGGTTTTCCGCAAATGAAGGGGAAGGAGTGAGGGTGGCGTGAATATTAGAAAGATTCTCATGTAAGCGTTTGGATTATTTCTTAGGCTATTTTATATTTTATTTTAGTTAGTTAGTTTGTCAAACGTGTACAAGATAACAGGTATAAGTATAAGCATAAATATGAACACAGTAAACAGTAGACAGTCTAAGGTTAAAGTTATGGCGGTTAGGGGATACCTGCCACGGCGAGCCCTTCGTTCACATCCCCCACCCTCCTTCGCCTAGCGCAGAGGCTCCCAGCATCGGTTCCACGGGCTAAGAATGCTGGCCTTCCCTTTTCCTGAGAACTTTCCCTCAATCAGTGAAGGGGAGAGAATTTGTACTCATTGCGCAAGAGATTAGCGGCTTCTTTTTAAGGCCAACTGAATTCTGCGAAAGAGCTCCAACTCGGCTCGCTGCCCCAGGAGTTTTGAAACGGGGGCGGGGCCAATAGAGATCGCGTTTCCCTGACAACTCAACCCACTCCGCCATGTCAAGCGTTCCCTCTCCCCCCCCCTCCCTCACTGCCTCCTACAAGCAACGTCCTCTACGCAACCCCGCCCCGCGGCCACGTGCTACTTCATCCACGCACACGGGTTAACCTTGGCGCGCGCCGCTCCGTTTCCCGAGGGTCGTGGAGCTTCGTTTGATTCCTGGCAAGACTCCCACGGACCGGGCTTCTCGCGCTGGCGTGAGGACGAACGGAAACTTTCGAGTGTTGACTTTCGACTCTGCTGACGGGCAATCCGCCCAGTCCAAAGAGCAACCGGGCAGGCACTAAGAAGGAGGCGGGCTCCTGAGAGGGCTGGACTGCCAGGGACCCTCCAAATTAGAGAGATAGAGGCATCTCGTTGCTCTCCTCCCCCTTTTAGTTCCTGGAAAGAGTGCGCTGAGAAAAGTGCGGGATGATATTACTGGGTGGGCCAGTCCTCCCAGTTGTAGTGATTGCTGGCAATGCCTCTTTGTACAGTATGGCCTCCGAGTCTGACAGCAGATAAGCTGTTTGAATAAATGCCCTTTTTCCTCCACGTCATTCCTCACCTGCATCAAAATGAAAGATTTTCCAGGTGAAAGCAAAGGTTTCTTTTCAAGTTTTTCAGCTTTCTGTTTCCATTCTCTTACAAGAGTAATCAGTTCAATAAATAAATTAAGTTTAGTAATTCCAGACTTGATTCTTTGGGTCTTGACTTTTTTTTAAACAACTTCCAAAACTATTTTTATGAGAGACACCGGTGGCTCAGTGGCTAAGATACTGAGCTTGTTGATCAGAAAGGTCAGTGGTTCGAATCCCTAGCGCTGTGTGCGCAGTGAGCTCCCATTACTTGCCCCAGCTTCTGCCAACCTAGCAGTTTGAAAGCATGTAAAAATGCAAGTAGAAAAGTAGGGACCACCTTTGGTGGGAAGATAACAACGTTCTGTGCGCCTTTGGTGTTTAGTCATGCCAGCCACATAACCACGGAGACAGCGTTGGCTCTTCGGCTTTGAAATGGAGATGAGCACTACCCCCTAAAGTCAGGAACGACTAGCACTTATATGTGAGGAGAATCTTTACTTCTACCTTTAAAACTATTTATGACAATTTATATCTCTTACTTATCTATCCCGGTGTGAAAGCACACTGACCCCTTCCCTACTTCAAAGTTCCCCTCTCTTTAAAAAAAAAAATAGGGGGTAAAGTTTAGTCTTAGTTAATCATTGCAGATAATTGGAAACAAAATAAAAGCTAAAAATATATACAGTGAAAATGCTGCTTTATCTTGTCAAAGTTACAATGGCTGCTCCCATTGCAGAAAAGGTTAGCCCTCACAGGTCTAGGACTATATGTAAAGCATTCATCAACTTTAAAATACCCTGCTACTTCTACCAGCTAGAAAGACTGCAGTTGCTAGCAGAACTAAACTGAGAAATTAAATGTAGCTCACCTTTGTATTCAAACGGATGTTAAATATTCTCTTATTCTTAACTTAAGCTAGTTATGTAAATCACAGAAAGTCAGATTTTCCACTACTATTAGGGTTTATGTCTGCTATAGAGAAACAGGAGATAAGAATAGGAACTTACTTCTTTAACAGTAAATGCCTTTCTCTCACATCCCCTGCACCCAAACAATGCATTCAGAAAATTATGTTAGGGAAATTGTGTTACTACAGTCCTTTTCATTTGCATAATCAAATACAATCATTTGCCTATGCAAATATACATTTTGCAGAGAGGAACATTCAGATAGGTAAATTATGAGTCTAAACCAGACCCTGAAGTGTGACAAAATAGGTTTACAATATTGACTTCTGTTCTGGAGAATTATTACAAATATTTTCATATTATGAAAATGCCATGTTCATCTGAAGGATGCATTCCTACACATCAAAATTATATGAAATTATAATGTATCCCTAATTTAGTTCTGACCTTTACCCTAACATTTATTATCTGAATCTTTACTCAGAAAAAATAGACCATATTTTATTGTTTAGCATTGAGCTAAAATAATCAAATCAAACCTTTATTGTCAATGGACAATATGTGTACAATGTATACACAATATATGTACAATGTATGCACAATAAGTGTACAATTAAGACCTATTTTTCTGCAAAGTAGAGGGACTTTACCTGATTGAGTTTTGCTGAAGCCTCAAAACTAAGTTTCCATGTATGCAAATCTGAAAGATTATAACCGAATAATATTTATTAATTAAACTTGTATGCTGCCAGATTTTCATTCACAGTAGAATATCTGTATAGCATATGCCAATAAGCAAAGATTTGATCAGTAATATATTGCATTTAAAAATTAAAGGGTCAAAAATGAACCTTGGATTACTGGATAACTGAACAAATAGTCTGACATTTTGTTATATGCGTATTTGACTAAAATAGGTACACAAATTCAAAACAGGTACTATACCTATCTTTTACAAAGATTGTATTTATTCAATTGTCACTTTTTTCTAAATATATGGATCGAAGGCTCCAATCCTATTTTATGTATTTTTTTTAACAGTAGCCATGTAATATTCATATCTGATGGAACAGATAATTATCTGAACACAAAATGAAAAGACAGTTCTCATTTGAGTTTTATAACAAGTTATTTATTCATAAATGAGATAAAATACTTAAAACCTATTTGTATTTTACAACATTCAAGGAGGTATGTCATTTTATTAAACATTCCTTAAAAATATTTTTGGTGACAATGTGAAGATGAAGATGTATTATAAACTTTGGGATTGGGTGCATTTATGTGGACTTAGGTGCAAATACATCTTTTTGTCATCTTTATTTTTGGAATATCAGGGTAATATTGCGGTCTTTTTGTAATATTAATACTTTTACAAAATTAGTCTAGTTCTCCATTAAAAGTTGCACAAGTGACTCCAAAGTGACACAGCAAAATTGACTTTTGAATTTCTTTACAACCTGATAAAGTAGGTTAGGAGGAGTGGAAGCAAGTGGCCAAGTAAATAATGTTTTGAAGTTGAGCTTTCATGTCTACAGCCAAAACACTATAATCTTAATGTATTGGCCGTGCACCAGGGATACTGTAGTAAAAACTCAATTTCAAGAATAATTGTGTCTATAGTATACAATATACCATATCATAAAAATCGTGAACGAATGGTGTAAAAGAATATTGTTGATGAGAATAACAATACCATAAAGGAAAAATACAGTAGGCACCATTGGCAGCTACCTTGCTTCCTCTAAACCCTGCTCCCTCACCCTACTTTTCTGCATTCCAGCTGGAGACTATAATGCAATAAATGCATGTTAATACTTTTGACTGTTTTATTTAAGTTACTCCACCCTAGCAGTCCCTTAACACCCTCTGAAAATTAAGAGGGCAAAATTGAAGAAATTAGTAAAGCGGTGCTGCTCTATCAGCATCCACAACTGGGATGCTGTAATTCTGGCACAGTGTTTCTCAACCTTGGCAGCTTGACAAAATGTGTACTACGGTTCCTAGAATTCCCAACGCAGCGTTCTGGGAATTGAAATCAACCCACCTCCAAGCTGCTACAGTTGGGAATCGCCTAGGGCGGTAGTCGGCTCCTCGGCTACGAAAGGCAGCGTGCGACCGGATTCTTATCTCATTCTTATCTCTTTCCCTTCTAAAACCAAATTGGTGGGGCTCCCTCTGAGCGGCGAGCTCCTGACAGGGCTATAGGTTGCGATGAGCCGGGAGGGCGGAGGAAAGATATAAATGCGGCGGGGAGGGAAGCCAAGGGGATTAGTTGAGTCGTCCTCCTCAAGAAGCGAAGCGAGAAGAGCGCTCGAGCGAAGCGGGTAGGCTGAGAGGCAGCTCCTGGAAAAGCCGGGTCGGGATGAAGGCTGCGGTGTGGGTACTGCTGGGCTGGATGCTGAGCGGGAAGAGCTTCCAGGGAGAAGCCCAGCCGGTAAGCGATGCCCCAAAAGTACCTGCGCTTTTTCTTCCCTGCTTTGGCTTCGAGCCTTGCCCCTCCCCTGTTCGCAGCAGAAATTCGGGAGGCTTTGAACAATTTCAGGCATTTGAACTTCTGCCTGGAAAGGTGGCTTTCAAAAGGCTCACCTTTCCACTGTTTAGGAGATGTTTGGTTGTCAGGCAGGGCTTTGGGAGAACCAATTCTGCTGAAGACTTCAGCAGAAATACCTAGAAAGTGTGACTTATCTAATCTGTATTAGTTGAAATATCAGCAACAGTCTTTCATCATAGGGAAACTACTTAGAAAAACAAGTACCGAATTAGCCTCCGCCTGGTGCAAATAAACTTTTGAAAGACTTCATTCTAAAATTAGGAATTGTTTTTGAGTAAAAGTGATCAGAAATTGGGGATGAGATGTTTTCTTGATGGACTTGTAAAAAGGCCAATAATTTCAGGGTTCAAATACATATAATGGTACAAAAAAATTAAAGATCAACATCCGGCTGAAAACAGTACTCTTCTTGTTGGAATTCAAGGACAGCAATTAAATAAGAGCCATGGAAAATTATTTTTTATATATGATCCCTGTTGCAAGATATCTTCCATTATCACTGGCACTCATCTGCATCCCAGCAAGTTATGGTTTTAATGAATATTTTAAAAATATTTTTTAAATGCCATATCCATAGCTAACAGTAGATTAGCTTCTTAACCCATTAGTTTGAGATCATACTTCACTGACTAATGGTTAACATCCATTTAAAAATGTGCTTCCCCGGGCTCCAGAGGCGGGAAACAGACCCATTTCTGGTACTTCCAGTAGGTCCGTTTTTTGCCCTCCCCAGGTTCTGGAGGTTTTCCTTGAGCCTCTGGGAGGGCGAAAACAGCCTCCCCCCAGGCTTCGGAGACGCTCCCTGAAGCCTTGTGGAGTGGGGGGGGGAACAATCCTGTGCTCCCCCACGTATGTGCATGTGATACCCCCCGCCCCCACGCATGTATATGCATCTCCCACATACACAGCAGAGACCCAAAAATCAGCTGGCTGGCAGGAGGCATGCGCACATGTGTGTTGGAGCTGAACTAGGTGACTGCTCACATGCCCAGAGAGAGGGCTTCATGTGCCACCTTAGAGGAGAGGTGGAATATAAATATAACCATTTATCATCAGCATTTCCAAATCTTTTTAGTACTTAACTGGCTTGGTCAGTCAATCATTCAGTCATTTCTGGGCAGCTTATAATTTTCCTAGAAAGTAACATTCTATTTATTACATTTCCTTTTCTTTTAATCCTGGTTTTCTTTTTCATTACAGCTTATCAAATGCTATGAAGAAGATGGTATGTATAAATAAAATGTGGTTTTAGTTGTTAAAATTTTGTTGCATGTATTGGACATTCATGGACCCCATTGCCATTGTAGGTGGTTTAAAATATTATCAATATATGAAATCTTTGTGGGCTTTTTAATCAATGTGCATCAAACAAGTACACTCATCATATGTCTGCTTGACTTTTGCCCTTCCTTGACTGATTAGGCCAGACAAAGACCACAGAGGCCACAGATGGCAATCAGTGCCTCACAGAAGGAAGGAAAGAACTGAAGTCTCCAGCCTTAAGTTTTTTGTAAAGCCTCTTGTGAAGAACCTTTCTCTAGAATCCACTAAGTTGAATAATATCTGACCAGTTTGTCATTCCAAACCACTTAGAGAGGGCTGTAACTACTATGAAGTGGTATACAAACTAAATCATACTTAAAGAATGCAATTGTGTTGGTTACTCTATAAATAAATACTAGTGACTTTCTCATGACATTCTTTTTAATGTTATACTGTAATAGTATTACTGTTAATATGTTCAATTGTGAATTAGTAGTGGAAGAAGTGAATGAAGAAAAAATAAGGGATTGGCAGGGAAGGGTGAAGTCGTGACATGACATACTTCCTGAAAGGTGGTATTGAAATGTAGCAGTGCATACGAAGGATGAATTTGGATTTTGCATGAACCATATAATGTATTCCAGGACCCCAAGATCATATTTCCAACATTTGATGGAAAAAAGTTAAATTTCAGTGTAAATATTTGCACTTTGTAAAAGTGAATGTCACTCCTATGCAAGAAAAAATGTTCATTTTCTCAATCAGAATGTATTCTCCTTGCAGTTTTTTTAGCCATCATAAGAAATGAAAACAGACATACAAATAAGCAAATGATCTTGGGAATCCCATTTCAAACTGTTGAGCACGTGGAAATTTATTGATGACAGAAAGCAGGATATTTCTGCAGGCTAAATTAGTACACATACATTTTTCAATGATTTTGACGATTCTTACATAATTTTCTTCAGGAAAGGTATGAGGTAAAATGGCTGTCTATTGAGATGTTTAATTCTAAATCTTCTCGCTTGGAGGAAGGTGTCGGGTAGCCAAAAAAGAGTCATACCGCAGCTGGACTTTTACTGGCAAACTCTCCAGTCCACCTCCTATAGATGTGATTCTGTGGCTGTTGGCTTTTCTGTACCCTTTCTGGAAGGATAGCCGAGGCAGAAGGCAACTCTAAATGACATGTCTGCCACTATGGATTTTTCTGGGGACGAATGATGGTGTTCAGAGAAGAAAGAGTACCTCAACCAAGGTTTCAAGGCTTTGCAGGCTAGTCGGGCCAGTCTAATAAGCTGGAGGTTTTCCCTGCAAATATACTCACACCTCACTTTCATTCTTTGCAAGGGCCTCATCCTGAGTTGGAACAAGAACATAGATTCACACCAGCAGATCTTTTTAATATCAGCATCAAGATTGTTGAAATTCAAGGAATGTGTAACTTCAACATAACTTGGATCCTTAATGCAGACGGTAAATGTCATTATTTAAGTAATAGGCCAATAAATATTTTGTATTAAATGTAACAAATACTTTCCTGTATAATGAATACTGTAATGCTCGCTTGTAATATTCCCTTTCTATCCTGATTGGGAAGTAAGCAATGTTGTGATTGTCTTATTTTAGTTCCTGTAGGCTTTGGATGGAGAACAACAGGCTTTAGCTAAACTCTGATAAAACTAAGTAGCTCTGGCATATTTGGCCTTCTGGATCTAGGATATTACCATCTTCGATAAGCTGACACCACCCTGTACAGACCTGGTGGACAATCTGGAGGTCCTAAATTCATGATTCCTGCTCGAGGATCAAGTGGCAGTTGTGGTTGGGAGAGCCTTTGTACAACTTCATTTTGTGTGCTAGTTGCACCCTTTCCTGGATCATGAGACTGTGCTCAGAGTTATACCCTGGTCACCTCAATGGAATGGATTATTATAACATGCTCTGAATGTGGCTGTCCTTTCAAGAACATTTGGAAGCTTCAATTGATGAACCGTGTGGCTGTACTAACAGTTATGTGTGCCCCTAAAATGGCACACATTACACATTTGCTCCATGAGCTGCAATAGGTTTTCAGTCTGTTACTGGGTACAATTCAAGGTGTTGATTTTGGCCTAAAAAGCCCTAAATTACATGAGATCAGGTTTCTTGAGGAACTGCCTTTTCCCAGTTATGTCTATTTGTCTCATCAGTCCAGCAAGAGGGGTATGCTGCAGGTCCTGCCTGCTAAGGAATTTTACCCTCTAGAACAGGGTTGTCAAATTCAAGGCCCAGGGGCCAAATCTGGCCCATGGGGTGCGTAGATCTGGCCCATGGGGTCATCTTGGAAACAGCGAAGGACCGGCCTGTGGTGCCTCTGCCAGCAAAAACTGAGCTCGGGAGGGCCACAGAAGGGTTGCATAATCTGGCAATATCCACCCTGGGCCCTCAAGGTCAAACACAACCGTGATGCGGCCCTCAATGAAATCGAGTTTGACACCCCTGCTCTAGAACATTACTCTTCTGGGGTGAAGTTAGTGTCATTCCTAGTAGTTTTCCAGCAAGTTCTTAAAGTGTGTTTTTCCAGAAACTGGGATACCCATGAGAAGGCTGCAAGGTAGTTGTATGATGTTAGGTTATTGTTCTCCTGCAGTCTTGACTTTTTCATGTTTTTAATCTGATTTAGGTTCAATCTTTTAAGATTGGTTGTGTTGTTTTAATTGTTTCCGTGTTTGTACACTGCCACAGTCATGTCCCAAAGTTACTTTTTTAGGAGGCAACTGGACTTTTTTTATTTTTCCTTTGAAGATGTTTGGCTTCTCATTCAAGAAGCTTCTTCAGTTCTGCCTGGATGGTGGGGAATGGAAGGATTTATATTCCTTGCAGACAGCTGGTCATTTGCATTCTTTTTAGACAGCCATTGATTGAGGCCATTTGGAGGTTTCTCTGTGTCATCATGGTCACCTGAGTAGTGCAAGTGTGTGTGGAGCCTTCTTGGCTGCAGGCTGTCTTCTGAGCTGTGTCCCTTCACTGTTGAAGACAGGTGCAGGCTGCTGGGGATGAGTCTGTGTTGTCTGCATCTCAAACAGAAACGCAAATGGTTCCTGTAGTCTGCAATTTTTCTAGAAATCTGTTCATACTTCCACATCCATTTGGGGCAACCAAGATGACTGAGAATCTCCACAGACGTTCATCAGAGTCATGTTTTGCAAGATGAGCAGCCATATACATTTTTTAAATAAATAAATCATCTCAGTACTAAAAAAGTAAGGAAATATATTTATGCTTTTATCTATGCAGTTAAGTTAAGCTAATTGAAATTCAGAATATGGAAAGCAGTGAAGTTGACCAAAAATTAAAGTTCTTGAGAAATAATCTCAAATATGATCTGTGTTGATTTATGTAACTTTTCTCCTGGATTTTTTTAAAAATATATAACTGTAAAAAGGTATGTAAATGGCCAAGAACCATTTTGAGATTGGCAAAACATAGAAACCCAAATCAGTAAATAAATAAATTTAATATTGTTAAATTTTCAGGTGATGAGAAATTCCAGGGGAAATATTATCTATTCAGCTTCTTTTTGATAATACATTTCAATGTCCTTTTTTAATGATAACCAAAGATATTACAATAAGATTATAATATTTGTTGTATTCTAACTGTGATGGCAAACCTATGGCATGCGTGCCACAGATGGCACATGGAGCCCTGTCTTTGGGCACATGAGCTATGACCCCAGCTCAGCTCCACCGCACATATGTGTGCACCTCCCGACGACCAGCTGATTTTCGGGTCTCTACTGTGCATGCATGGGGGGGGGAGTGCATGCGGGAGATGCACATGCATGTGCGGGTGGAGCAGCGACCTCCTCCCACAGCCCATTTTTTGTCCCAGGAGGCTTCAGGGAGGCCTGTTAGCCCAAAACAGGGCATGGGGGGCAGCACATATGTGCAGAGGGGGGTGGCAGCAGGAGCATGCAGGGGATTTCGTGCACGCATTGCATTATGGGCGTTGGGACTTGATGACAAAACGGTTAGCCATCACTTTATTCTAATATACAAGTGACCACAAATATACAAGCTCACTGTAGACACTATAAATCCAAATCTATTTGGATTTCATTCCATTACCAACTGCAAACTGCTGTTATGTTTGTGATATATCTTTGTCAGACCCCCAGCTCCAATAATACCACAAGAGGAAATTTGATTTTTGGGGACAGCTATTAGAAAACAGTAATCTGTCTTGTAGAATTTTCTGTGTCATAAATTAATTTATTAATAAAACAAGTTACTAGAAAACCTAGTCATGATCTGAATCAAGTATTTTAAGAAATACTGGCTTTAAGATTTTCTGTTGATAACCCAATCAAATGCGTAGTAATTAGAAGGCAAACAAAGAGAGTAGGAAATAGTATTCTTTGAACAAATGTGAAAAGTTATTAGAAGAATGTAGATCTATTTATTGCTGTCCCATAAGGCAAAAATATCAAATCAGAAAAGAGGACACAACCTTCTTCTTTCCTTAACATTTTGCAGGCTTCTTCTTGAATAACTGAAAGCACTTTTAACTTTTTTTGGTTTTGCTATGTGTATGTGAACAAAAAGTTTTTAAAACTGAAATATATATTTAACGCAAAATGTATATTCAAATTATAAAAATAGGAAGTGCATGCAAACAGATATTTCATATTTTTTATTAATTGGGGGTGGGAGGATTAAAAATATTATAGAGTTTCCCCTTGCTGTTTCTGTTTTATGACTCCTGTCTGATTTAGATATGCAAAACACAGATTATATCTAAAATCCAGCAGTAAGAGAACAAATTTATAGTTCATTATTGGATAGCATGTAGATAGATGCATGGAATAGGATGCAGAATTGGCTCAAGGTAGTAAAGTAACCGAAAATCTGCCATTGTATGTCTGAGAGACCTGTAGTAGTTGGAATGGCACTGTTACTGATAAATTCTTTGACAAAATAATTTTCTTGCAGCTAGTATACAATACTTGAAGGCAACCAAAATATGTGAATTAAATCAAGGCTGTATTCGCTGTGACTACTTAGAAGCATTTCAAAGTCAAACCAAGTCTGAGCATCAAAAAGTAAGAGGTTTTTTTTTTAAGTTGTGTTTGCTGCTGTTATGTTGTGCTGCTAGGATAGGATTTTAGTCACCTTAATGACCTAATACAACAGTAAATTATTTCTTTTAAGAAAACATGGTGAGATGGACTAGAAATTGTTTCTGTAGAATAGAACAAAAATTATGTAGCTTTATCTTCTGAGAGGAAATGATAAAAATCTGGTTTTTATGTAAAATTATTGTGAGATAAAAATAAATTTCAGTGTTCCAAATGTGCTCACAGTTTATGTTCTTTAATACATTGTTTTGCAACTGGCTGTGGTTGGTGGATATTAAAGTATCATAAAAATGGAAAATTGACTAAAATATTAAATTTCTATTTTGTTTGAGTAAAAACACAATTATTCTGATTTTTTTGGTACACTTAAAATCTTATCAAATTCTATGTTGGACAGTAAACAATAATGACCAGAAAATATGTGTGTGTGTGTGTGCATATTTAACACTTACTCAAGTCAAAGGTTGAATGTTTACATACTTAGTTTATAGCATGTCAGATTACAAAAGCAGCAAAAGAAATAAAATTATAAAGAACAATGGTACTAATAAATTAACCTCCCTCAAGATATATTGCAATTAAAGTTAGGGTTGAAGATACAGAAATTGAAACTGTCTTTAAAATTCATAAGGTAAGAAGGAAAAAAAAAACGATAATAAGAGACAAAAAAAGAAAAACAACCCAGAAAATAAATAGAAAATGTACAAGCATGATAGGACAATTGTTAGTTAAAAATTTTCAATATTTTATAAGTTTTCCATAAATGAAATAATGTAACATCTTATGTTATGTTTTTTAAGATTTTTAAAACTGCAGGTCATTGTTAAAATCAAATTAAATATCAATCATAATAATCAGTGCACAATAAATCACAAAGAATCAGACTACAGTAATTTATAGCCAAACTTTGAACAATAAATTCTTATTTAAGAAATCATTTAAAAATTGGAATACTGTGGTTTTATTTTAAGAGAAATTCAAATTTTGGATGTGATTCTAGCTGATAAATGGAATTATAATTTAAAAAAATCACTTTCCATTTGGATTAACTTCTATGTCAGATTTATGATGGGGATACTCTTAACAAGCCTTCCCAAAATGGTTTGATCAAATAGCAAATTTAATTCTGGCAAGATAGTGCCTGACATAAACCAGATTTAGGCCAACAAACTGCGTCATGTATGATTTTTGGAAGCAACTGATTTCTAATTTTTCTATTCTGGGCCAATAAACCTGCATTTAGAAAATCCCATTATATATATATATTTTGATATTGTCATCTTAGTATTTCATTAATGTACCAGATCCAATCAGTAGTGGAAAATTGAATAAGTGAGGAGTATACACACTTCTGCTTGCATTTCTGAAAGAGCACGGAGAGTGGATTAGTTCATATCCAAATTTATATAACCTTCAAATACATTTAATTACAGTGGCAATTCAACTTTGTTGGATTCTCTCTAGAAGAAAATACTAATTACTTCATTGATGTTTACAACCTTCCACCAACAAATATAAATGAGGATCATTCAAAAACACAGATACAGCTAATTTCTCCAGGTAACTGATTAAATAGTGTTGATTTACAAATCTTCATCTTTAAATGGCTTCTGTAATTTTAAGGTGATATGTATATATAAATATGTAAAACTGTTATACATATAGTTAAAAGTAATGGGTCCAGCCGATCTTTGTTTGATAAATAGAACAAGCATGATATTTAATCTGTTGATTTAGAATGTGTTCATTTGCTCTTCAGTGGTTTATACTTTCATGCAGTTTTCCTAATCTTTATTTTAAAAGCTTTTTCTTATAACTGGAATCAATTGATTTAGATACTATAAATGTTCATAATTTCTAATGCAAAAACTCTTATTTAAATTCAGACTGTGAAGATAATAGCTTGAAATATTGCAAAAACTGTATAGAAAAAGGTAAGCAGTTATTTTCATTAATTCATTACACTAAGGCTCATTAAAATGTATTATAAAGCATATTTCAAAATATTAAATGCAATGGGGACCATAAACTGTGACTCATAAATAAAATGCCAAGGAATACAGGGGCACCAAGAGGACAAAGATGCTTGCTATTTTTGGTTAACTACAGAAGAACATTTGATTATATTACTTTTCCTGCCCATTTTAATTAGCAGCTCTTAATGCATTTTTTTGCATTTATGTAGAATAGCTTTGTAACCTTTTAGAACTGGAATCTATCTGAGGAAATTGTGCGTTCCACTACTATACAGTCATGGCTTTTCAAATTCAGTTCTTTTCTGACTGATGTGGCGTTAGCATGTAAAATTCTCTCGTTATAAGATTTCAACTAGAAATTAAAAAAACAAAACTCACTTTTTCTCCTATTTGCTGCTGTGCATGACCAATACACAGTCTCTGATTAATGCCAGTTGAGGAATTTGTTTATTTGTATATCTAACATTTTTATAGCATGCCCAACTGGAAAGACTCTGGGAAGGTTACAAAAGGAAATCTGGGGCTGTCATCCTAACACATATGACAGGCACCAGGTTAGGTTTTTCTTTTATTTACATTCACCTTCTCTTAATCAGACATCCTGCTTGTTTTATGTAATTTAGTTATGGTTAATTTTAATTTTACTCTTATTCTTTTGGCACTAGGAAACAGATTATTCCCAGTTGCCCAGTTTGAAAATATCAGATTTATCATTTCACGTAACAATTGTCACCTAAAAGTTACCTAAAATTACTTGCAAAGGGATGTCCTCAAAATAAGGAATTACTTGTTTAGTAGTCACAGGATAGTTTTGAAATATATAGTAAATACAATAAACAAATTAATTAAATATTTCTAAAAACTACTATGAGAGCAAGAAAATACTATATTAATCTCCTTTGAAAAGAAAATGTTGAAAAAGAGTTAAGTAATTTTTTAAAAACGCCAGTTTTAAAGGACCAGTTGTTTAGGGCATTCATTAATCATTTCTATAATTATTTCCATTTTTCTGTCAAGGATCTGAAAGCCATGTGTGCTTTAAGATAAAACAATGAAAACATCAATCATCTTTTTAATCTGGATTTATTTTTAATTTCACAGGGAGTTTATGGAATCCAAATATAACAATATGTAACAGGGAATTTGAAATAGAAGTGAATTTTACACCTAGTAACTTTTGTTCTAAATATAAAATACATCTTTGTGACTCTCATGAATGCGATACTTCAATTCTTCATGTTGTGCCTTCTACCAAGGTATATATTTTTCTTCTTTAACTAAAAAACTGGGAGTGAGTATGGTGACTAATAGTCAGATTACATGACTAGGGCTGATAAGAGTTGAACACAGATGACACCAGATTGAATAAAGTCAAAATTAATGTAAATATTAGCTTTTGAAAAACACCATGAAGTTATAAGCTGAACAGATAAGAAATAAAAAGTGTCACAATTCTTTTTTTTTTAAAAATAAACATTTTGAAAAGTTCTGTAATACATTTATCTGGATTTTTTCTTGCAATAGGGTAACAGTAATAGAGTTTCTGAAAAAATAAGAATGAATGATCAAGAAGGAAAGATGATATTTAAAGAGGTAAGATTTTATTTTCGTTTGTAAGGGAAATGTCAAATTAGAATGGTTGTATTACTGTTTCTGATCTGTGGCCCAAAGATTGAAACACAAGTTATACCTGATGCTATCTGCCTCATCGATGTCTATGAGGGGGTAGTTATTCAAATAAGCTTTGCCAGTACTGTCTTGCTGTAAGAGGTCATAGTTTAATGGGCAATTTTTGGGAGGGTTAATAATATTGCACGAAAGGAGTTTAATAGCAATAGCACTTATATACCAATATGGATTTATATACCACTTCATAGTGCTTTACAGCCTTCTCTAAGCTGTTTACAGAGTCATCATTTTGCCCCCAACAATCTGGGTCCTCATTTTATCGACGTCAGAAAGATGGAAGGCTGAGCCAACCTTCAGCCAGTGAAAGTCGAACTGCCAAACTGCTGGCAGCCAGCAGTCAGCAGAAATAGCCTGCAATACTGCCTTCTAAACACTGTACCATCACGCCTCTTAATAAATGCTTTTAAAGGTGATGGCCCTAATATATATTAGTTAGAAAGGGAACTGTTTCTAAAGGCATCTCTGTTCTTGAATGCAATTTTTAATGTTTAGCATTGATTTTTGACAGGATAATATGGAAGAATTCAAGCAATTTGAATATTAATGTTTTAGCACGGGGCTCCTTATTAAATAGAAAGCTTTTAATATGGCTTTATTTTTGTAGTTAGATTTCAAGAGGAAATTAGGCAATTAAAACTCGTGGATTTGACTTTTAAAAGGTATGCGCAAGTACACAGAAGTTATTTTAAACTTGTTATAATCATTCCACATCCTGGGGATGTGGACAAGGCCATAAGAGCTGTGAGTGCCTCCACTTGTG